GTGCGGGGCGCGGCGCAGCCTCCCGCGGGCGCACGGGCAGCGGCGCAGGTGCGCCCCGCCTCGCCTCGCCTCGCCGGGGCCCCCTGCGCTCCCGCCCGCCCTGCGCAGGGAGGGCACCCGCCGTACCGTCTCCGCACCGTGGGAGCGAGGGATCTGGGCGGGAGGCGCATCGCAAAGGGATCGGCAATGCGCGTAAGAAGAAACGGCCGGTCGGAAGCAGGCGCGAGCTGGAAGCGGTGCAGCCCCAAGCTGGGGTCCGGATCGGGGCCCCAGCCCGTGCGGACCCGGACACTCCTGTAAAGGTGCCCGTGTGAACCCTGCGGTTGCTTGCACTTCTCCCGTGGACGGAGTCTGTCTGTGGGGGCTTCTCCTTCCCGCTAACGGGGGTGGGGGTGGGAAAGGGGCCTGGGAAATCCTTTCAGGCAGCCAGACTTATTTTCCTCCAGGAAGCTGAGGCAGGAAGCGAAACCTGCCAGCTTCAGGCTGCCTACATCCTCTGGGCACACCCTTGGTTCATCCAGACCCCAAATTACCTGGGCACACCGAGGCCCCTCCAGAAACAATCCCCCACTCCAGTACTGCTCGTCTGTCAGGTGAATAACACATCCTGCATCTTTTAGAGAGGGAAGTGACCCCTCCGCAACCTTCCATGGGTCTCCACATATTTACTTTGAAGACATATTTCTTTCGACAGCCCTTTCCATCCAAGATGGCTTACGAAACAGTCGCACACAAAACCCAAATCATTCTCAGCACATAAGCAAAAAGCCCCAGGATTCGTTGCGGGAACCCGAGTGTCTATTTATTTATTTAAAACGTATCCCGTCCGATCCATAACATCCTGGTGTCTACTTTGTATGTGGATTTAAATGTTTGCTCCATTCGTCAGCTGAACCACAGCAGCATCTGCAGCGAGCCCAGGTGGTCACCAGGGGATGCCGAGGACTGGCGGCCGCAGTACAGTTCACAAGCATCACCCCCGCACCGCACACGTGAAACTTCCGGGGAATTCATCTCCGGGACAGCCCAGAACTGGGACTAAAAAGTCAGTGCCCCCCTCCCCAGATCAGCTCCAAATCCACACTCTGCCCCCCTTTGTTTGTGAGCGAAGCGTGTGCACTCAGGAAAGCAGCCGGTGGCTTTACAGCGCCAGTCGACCCAGGCAGTTCAGAGTTTTGTGGGATCTTTGCAAAGGGTCCTAAAAGAGACAAGGGGAACTCTTTGGGGAAGTTCAGCGCCATCCATGCTATAATTCATATTGGCACGCCTTTATTAAAGCAACCCAAAAAACATATAATGTTGTTGTTCAAAATTCTTCAGGCAACAAGGTAAACAAAACAAGAAACAGGCAGCTGATGTTGGAGTGATGGAGTTTAGCATTTTTTTTCTGGCTAATGCAATTCCCCCCTCAAATTGTGGAAAATAGGTGTTTCTTATTGCTAGCAGTGTTTCTAGTGGAGGGGTCCCAGTGCTACCAGAAGAGGCTGTGCGGCCCGTCGGGGGCCGGCTCTTGCAGGGGGCAGCCACGCTACGCGCCCAGAGGGCCTCGGTGCCGCGGGGCCTTGAGTCGGCCGTCGGCCTAAAGCTGGGAACACGGTGGGAGGCCACCGCTCAGCCATGGGGCGCGACGCAGCTCTTCTCCTGCCGTGAGGGCGCTTGGCCACAGCCGGACTTTGCTGAGGGGCCTGACCGGCCGCTCTGGCTCAGGGCCCAGCCCAGGGCAGGCCGCACCAAGCGCATCGCCTTCCCAAGGGGGCAAGTGCGAAACGGGAAGGACTGTCATCTGCCTAGCCGCGCTCCTGTGGCCCTGTGCCAGGGCTGGGTGTCCAGGGGGCGGTCCTCCCTGCTTCCCACGGGAAGAATCCATGCCCATCAGGAGGTGTTCAGGTCTAGGAATGCCAGCCCGGCTCGGCAGCACAGCCCTTTCATCCAGGGGCACAAGGGCTTGGCTTCGGGGGAACACGTGGCCAGGGAAGCAGGGCGGATGCAAAAGCGGGAACTGGGGCAGTGGGCAAATGTGCGGGCCAGAACGGGAAGCGAAAGCTGGGTGAGGAAGGGCAGACGGGAGAGCGGCCAGGGGGGGGAGTCCATCCTGGGTTCCGACGTGGCAGCACGGACTGAAGAGACCCGGAGCGGGAATGGACCCAAGACCTGGAAAGGGAAAGAAGCAAATGCAGATTCCACAGCACTTGTACGCACGATTGTTGGGGCAGATGGAAAGACGAAAAGTTTGTCAATTAAGTCATCTGCCTGATTATCTAAAACGGTTTCCCCTATCCATGAAGCAGGGGGCTTGTTCATACATTCAAACCAGTGCGTACAGAATTAAAAAACGTAGGTGGCAAGCACAATTTTAAATGGTACTCCCTTTTTATTTTTACATCGGAGCCAACTTCCAAGATGATGCAATATTCTGAAGAAAGAAATACAGACACCTGTATACAAATGTAACTGCTTTGTTAACTAAATAAGTTAGTTTACTAAAGCACACGTTCTGTGGCGATTTACGCCTCTGTTAAATACTGGCAGGATAGTAACTTCAAAACGCAGGCAGCCACCTTTGGCCTTGTGCTGCTTTTCCAGCACAAAAGATTCCCAGAGTAGTACACAGCAAAAGCACAAGGACAGTTTAATCATATTTTAAAAGGTAGGACTAAATTCCAGCACCGTAACCACCACACCAGCTCTCACCGCATTCTTTAATCTATTGTGTAATATATCAGTCTGTGTATCCTCACTGGGATTTTAAAGTACTTTGCCAGTTCAATCAGTACACTGGAATTTATTTAAGGTCAACCTGACTGTTTTGGGTGTGCCTTCGTACCTTGGTGGGGTTTGTGACTGTATAATAAACTCTGACGGATTGGTTCTGCCAACTTAATAAGGCTGCCAGTGACGGTGACTGGAAAGGCTTTTTATGAAAAAAGGCATTGCAAAATTCCTATCTTATTGTGTTACCTCCCTTATGATGTGACTTTAAAGAAAAAAGTTTGAGCCCTATATGAGCATTCAGCGAATGGGGCGGCATAAAAATGTTTAAATAAATAAATAAATAAATGTTGCTTCAATATTATGTTAACATCTTTTTAAATTCTAAAGTACTTGGGGTCCTCAAATACAAGTGAAAATAAATATAACAATATTGGTTTCAAATTCCTATTTAATGGTCTCAGTTGCTTATTTTAAAGCATTTAAATTTGCAATACTTTGATCTAACCTTGCTGAAGAACCGGTATCTCTGCCTTTGGCTCTTAAATACTTTTAAAACTAAAGGCTGGCAGAATACGCATCTTTTTCCTATGAACACCCAACACCCAGATGCCGCAGCTCAAGGGCCCTCCTGGCAGCGTTTGCCACACTTACAGCCACGACTCCCTGCTAGGATCTTGCTCCGGAGGCCTTCTGTGTGGATCAGGTCCTGGCTGCCCCTGGAGAAGGCCGGGTGCTCAGCAGGGGGCCTTCTGGCAGTCTCCAAGCTCTGCAAAAGCTGGAGAGGAAGCATGGCCCTGGGAGGGTTTCGGGGCAGCTAGGTCTGCTCTGCCCTGCCCCGCCCCACCCCAGACCCGGACAATAACGCCACTCTCAGCCTTGGCTCGCCGCCCACCTCAGATGGACCCGGAAGGCAACGGCCTTCTGCAGCACCGAGGCTCCCAGTCTCTGAACTGGAACACACTCAGCCACGAGCCGCTGGCTTCGGGAAGAGCCGGACACGGGACATGCGGTGTTCCCCAGCACGGAGTGGGCACTGCTGTCTCCGTGGGCTGATGCATGTGGCGTGCTGGCCAGAGGGGCTGCCCAGAGAAGGGGCAGGGCAGGGGCTTTCTGCACCCCCTCCCGGAGCTCTGCTCTGCAGCCACCGCTGCCCCCGTTACCTCTCTTGGTGCATCCGTGGCTGCTCCAGGGGGCCGGCGCGGTCCAGCCGCCCCCATCAACAGGGGCCAGGACGGGGACGCGCTGCCCAGGAAGGGGCAGCTGAGGAAGACCAGCTTGCTGAAGTTGAACTGGTAGGTGAACCTTTTGCCCCGGGTCTTGTGGAGGATGCGCTTGCTGTAGTAATACCTGCAAGGCAAAAGGGAGCGAGGGGGCAGGGGAACCGGGCCTCTGAGGAGAGTGGGGTGGATCCTGAAGAAGGGCGTGCAGCTTTCCATCTCAGAAAGCCCGCTCCTCTCTTCCAAGCCCCTTCTGGCTCCTCTCAATGGGCCAGTTGGGACGAAGGACGAGCTGGCTGTGGCCATAGGCCAGTGGGTGCCGCCATCTTGGATTCTCCGCTCCTCACAGCAGCCGTGCCAGCACGCAAGGAAGGCCGGCAGGCAGCACCGGAAGGCCCAAAGGTGGCAGGGTGCCTCCAGCAGGGGGACCCCACCCCCGGGCCTGGCCAGGGACAGCTGGACACCTTTCCATGTCCCCCCAGCAGTTCCAAGCTTGAAATCCATTCTCTGGGCTACACTTTGCGTAAGCTCACTGTACTATTGCGTGCATTTTTATCTTGCTGGATAAAAGTTGCCCTGAGAACTTCCAGAAAGCAGCATATAAATGCTTTGATATCGAGGGGCGCCCTCAGCCAGAGCCCCCGAAATATGCGGCGGGGAAGCGCGCCCCTCTCTGCCCCCGGCTGACCTGAGGGCCCGGCTCAGCTTGTCGTAGTTCATCTGGGGCTTGCACTTCCTCCTGCCCCACAGCCGGGCCACCTCGTCGGGGTCCTTGATGACGAACTCCCCGTACTCGCCCTGCTGCCAGGCGATGACGTGCCGGAACTCCTCCTTCTGCAGCAGCTCCAGGATGAAGTGCCAGAGCTGGATCTGGCGGGAGCCCGGGCTGGATTCGGCCTTGTAGGCCCAGTCCGGGAAGGTGAGACCTGCACCCCGAGGAGGGAAAGAGAGGCATAGATCTGACCCTCACAGCCCCTCTTCTTGCCCACCTCCTCCCTCTCCCTGGACATCACCCTTCCCTTGCCCCAGCCCAAGTCTGGGCAACCCCAGGACCTCCTGCCGGCCGGCCCGGCTGGCCCTCGGACTCCCCAGCTTGCCCCGAAGCCCTGGAGGGAGACGAGAGCGTAGCCCATGCCCTGCGCCCCCTCACCTGGTATCCAGTAGGAGCCGGGGAGAGAAGGCATCCTCTTGGGGCCACAGCCGCAGAGCATCCCCACCCCTGCCAGGGCGAGAAAGGGAACCGCATCAGGACCAGGCCGGGGAGCCAGGGCGGAGCGGCTGGCATCCTCCTGGCCGCAAAACATGGAGGGTTTGGTGGGAAAGACAGCACTCTGCCCGGCGGCAAAGAGGCTGGCAAGGGTTCCCTCTCCACGGAAAATATTACATTAATAATCTCTTTCGCTGGGCGTCATGCCACAGACAAACCTGAGTAATTCAGAAAATAAGCAGGAGGAAGGCAGGTGAAAGGGGGAAGCGAGCCCCTGCGGAGCCCAAGCGCTCTGGGAGGCCGAATCCACCCAGTTTCAGATCATGCAGTGAGATGGTGCTGAGTTATAGACATCCACGGAGAAAATATTCCTCACATTTGAATCGTCAGTGAAATCAGAGCAGATCTCACAAAGGGGACGTGTACCAAGCAAGAGGCCTTTCCGAAGTTTGCTGCTGCGACTTTCAAGGCGGTGTGCTGATCGTGGTGGGAAGCCAGCCCTTCCCGGCTGATCTCCGTTCCTTCCACCAAATCGCATTCGTGGCTGCCACAGAGGAGGGAGCTGTGGAAATTCGTGGCCAAAGACCTGCACACCAGAGAAGCGGGCGCGTGTTCCCAAGGCATCTGCCGTGCCCCCACCAGCCAGCGGCCCCCCAAGGGAGGCGTGGGGGCTGGGCACGGCTTCGTGGGAGGTTGTGGCCAGGCGCTGTCCTTGGCGGTTGTCGCAGCTTCCCTGCAGACCCCTGCCATGCCTGGCCACAACCGCCCACGCAGCTTCCCTGCAGACCCCCGCCATGCCTGGCCACAGCCTCCATGATCTTTCGGAGCCTCGTGGGCCATCTCTGGCTGCTGCCGCCTGAAAAACCCCCTCTCCAAAGTCCAGCTGGAACCAGCGAGGAGCCACGAAAGCCCAGACCCAGGAAACCGAGCCGAGACTGGATCGTGCATGGCCGGGCTCCTACCGCTTACCTGTTGCCCAAGGTGCAAGGCTCCGAAAGTAACTTCCAGGCGGGAAGCTCTGCGGGTCCCGAGAGCAGGTGAGCCGGACGGAGCGATAGCGAGAGGGGGAAGAACTGTTGCCTCCGCGCATTTGAAGGTCGGAGGGTGACCTGTCTCCATATATAACGGAAAGGAAAAGGGTTAATTTTAAATCTTCTTACCCCTCTGCCTTCGAGAAAAGAGAAAACAGGAGAGAAAAGGCTGGCCCACGTTTGGAAAGGCTCCTGAACAGGAGATTTTCCTGATGGGGGGGAGGGATCACTTTCACGGGGGAAAATCCATTAGCTTGGCTTTGAAGGACCTGATAAATGAATGGGCAAGGGCCAAGGTCACAGTTGGGCCTTAAATGGATTTTCTTGCCTTCTTATTAAAAAGGGAAAATTCACCTCCAGCGACTAGGGGTGGGGAAGGGCATTAAAATGTGGACAGCTATGGAGGGAATCCAAGAAGCGCTTTTAAAGTTCGATTGTTTGCAAATATAACCAGAGGGTGAGTTTGTTCAAGGTACGAGTTCATGATCACGAGGTACGAGACCAAAGCACCCCCGCCAGGGCCTCCGTTCACAAGTGCAAGGCGTGAACAGGCGTGCAGGGCCCCGGCTTGTGCTGCGGCCAGCGAAGGGACACCCGTCTCCAGTCTCTCCCCTTGTAGGTGGCACTGGAACTTCGAGAGGAGCTGCAAAGCATGGCACCACGCTCCAGCAGGTCAGCCATTCCCTCGTGGGCGGATGGAGAGCAAGGGATAAACATGGGCTGGACAGAAAGCCCAGAAACCCAGGCGGCGGAGATGAGGCGAGAACACCCATAGCTTCTGCCACACACGTGGGGCTAGCAGGACCGGTCGCTGTTCTGGCGGCCTTCTCTCTCCCCCCACCACTGCACTGCATTGCAGCCCCCAACGTCCCCTCTTGGCAGGTAAAATCGGGACCCCATTCCCACCTGCTGGACTTCCAGAATGAGGGCACCCTTGGGACTCCTCCCCGCACGCAGTCACCTTTCCGCATCGGCAAAACCAATTGCCTGCCTTAATCCAACCTTCCTAAAGGCTGCAGTGGCCTCCCGTGGGGTTGCACTCCGACTCCCACCATCCCCAGATGGATTAAGGCAAGCATTTGGCTTTGCCACTCAGAAAGATCAAGGTGTGCAGAAACGGACTGTGTGGAAACTTGGCTTCTGGACGTACCGTGGCTTCACACTTTCTCCAGAGCTCTCATTTTGGGTACCGCGGCTCTGAAGGGGGACGTGGCTGGCAGCCTCTCACGCTCCCCACCTGAGCAAGAGGCTCGAGTCAGCAGGCAAGGTGGGGGCACTGCCTCACCTGAGCACCCTGAGGCACCCTCATCCCTGAGACGCTCGCTCCCCACAATCGGCTTAGCTGTCCAGGCCCCGTGGAGCCGGGCCAGGCGCTTCGGTGGCTCTCCTGCTCAGCCCCACTGGCCAAAGAGGTCAGGGCCGGCTTGCTTAAGCCCCTAATGCTATTAGGACAAGCGGATTACAGGCCATTGGAACGGTCAGCAGGCTCGGCGGGTGAGGGAGAGACAAGGGAAGGCGCCGATCCCACAAGGGATGAGCCGGAAGCTGCGAAGTGGCCAGGAGAGGAGGGTCTCCTCCCGGAAGCCGCTTCCCTTGCTGCCCTCCTACGCCCACCCCGATTCAGACACTCTGTGATGCTGCCCGACCCACTCAGGCCGAGAAGGCCGAGCAAGGCGGGGCCGACCAGCCGGGAATCTACCTGGCTTTGGGGGGCCCACCTGGACCCAGCTCCTGCCTCTGGGGATGCACCGGGGCGGGTGCTGAAGCTTTCCTGCATTTCTTGCCGTGGAGGCCTAGGCTGCTGTTGCCGCAGCCGGCCACTCTTGCCCACTTTCTAACGCCAAGCAGAGCCTGCCCCGAACCGGCGCCGCTGTGCGGAGGGCCCACCGAGGCCGCCTCTGGGCCGCAAGTGGCCACGAGCAGCTGCCACACAGGAGCGCACTGGCGTCGAGAGCAAGCGAACGGGCCCCAGCACTGCGCAGGCGGCCCCAGCAGGCGGCGCCAGAGGCCCCGCAATGCGCCCGTGCGGCTTCCGTGTGCGCCCGCGTCCCCAGCACGACCTGCCTGGGCGACATGGAGGTCGCCGCCCCGTGCACTGAGCACCCGAGCGCTCCCTTTGCGCACCGAGTCATCGGCTGGGCTCCTCAGCAAGCGCCAGCGATCCCACAGAGGCCGGGGGCACGGGGCACCAATGCCCCCGGGGACAGCCGGGTGGCATCTGCAGCTTTCTGGGCTTCTGCCGGCCGGGCTGCTGGGCTGTGTCACACTGTGGCTTTGGCTGGAGGCTGGCAAGAGTGGGCTGCGGATGGTCTCCCCTTCAGCTCGCCCATTGCTCTGTGGGGCAGCTGCTCCTGGGAAGGCTGAAGCTCCTGGTTCCTCGCCCACCCCGCAGGGCTCCAGGGACTGCAGGCGCAGCTTTGCATGAAGACCCCCTTCCATCTATTTAACTGAATCCCTTTCTCAGAACCATGGGGAATGGAAACTTGCTTTACATTTAGAAGGGCTGGGGGTGGGAGAGCCCCTGCCGTGCAAGCAGAAGCTCCCAGTCTCACGGTTCTGGTCTGGAGCCCTCCCGGTCCATGCGGACACACCAAGGAGGCCTCCTGCCCCTGCCTGGAGGAAAGGTCTGCTGGACACGGACGGAGTGCCACGGGCGCTCAGGGACTCGGCAGCCTTCACCACTGCCTCCCCGTCCCCACCTCACCGTCAGCCCCACAGCGGAACGCCTTCCGGGCCGAGGGGATGCTCAGAAAAGCTGCACAGCTGCTCGCAGGACCCGAACAGGGGAACAAAGCGTGGAGATCCCCGAGGCGCAGGCAGAGGTGGCCCTTTGGCTCCCAGGGCAGCCCGGCACCCCACAAAAGCCCTTGGCTGGCATCAGCTGCCACGGGCCGTCCCGGCTGTGGGACACGGGAAAAGGCTGGCCAACAGGAAGCCCCGAAAAGGCGGCTCTGGAGGGGCCCCTGCCTGCGTGCCCCGCGAGGCGAGGCGAGGCTGCCACTGGCTTGAGAGCAAGCCCCGTGGAGTGAGGGGCCGACGGCCATGGGGAGACGCCTGTGCCCGGCAGCAGCAGTGCAAAGCCAAGGCGTTGCCTGGGTCGCTTACCTCGCGGAGGCACCTGGCTCGTCCTCGGCCACCTCTCCTCCCTCCGTCAGGATGGAGTGGTGTTCCCCTCGCCTCCCGCGCTGCGCTGGGGACTTGAGATGAACGCCCCGTGCTGCTGTGTCCACGGAGAGCGCTGCGCTGTGGGGACATGCTAACCCCCGCTGGCCCCAGGAGGCTCTCAGCACAGCAGCTCTGCCTGGGAAGATGCACCTGTTCTCACAGGTGATTTGCCACGAGCCAGGGTGGTCCCCTCCGCCGAGCCCAGCCCCCAAGAGGCCCCCAGCGACCGACTGCCAGTCCTCAAGCTGGTGCCCTCCAGAAGTGCGCCTGCTCTACACGTCCCATCACCCAGGACGGGGGTCGGAGTTGGCACCCCCAGCAGGCATCCAGCTGGGAAGGGCGGCGGCACCCCAGTGGCCGGACTCGGCTTCTGGGACGCTTGCGCTGCAAAGCGCCTCTGACACTAGCAAAGGCCCCAGACGAGAGCCGGGGTGGACGGGCCAGCCCTGCTCTCTCTGGGGATGCCGCACACCCGGCTGGAGCCCTCAGTCTGCGAGCACCGGCTCGTCCACAGCCCTCCTGCTCCTCCAAATTGGCATCCCGGGGCCGGATCCGGGTGTCCAGCTGGTCCAATGCGGCTGCTGGTGGGCTTCCCTTTCGACCCAGATCTGGGCCACGGCTGGGGTACCGGGGGGCTGCGTTCAGCCCGGGAGCAAAGTGGTCTGGCCATCCCTCACGGGGGGAGCTGCCCTGCTGCGGCATCCTGCAGAAATGACCTTCCCGGAGCCGTGCCAGCTGGAGGACCTGAAAAAGGCCAAAATAATCTGCGGTGTTAACTTTTCCAAGCCTTTCTTTTGTTAATGATCGACCGTCGTTTCCTGATCCAGCGCCCTTTAAAAGAACAAATAAATCCTTTTTTGCACGAGCCACCCAGGGCCGGGACGGTGCCTGCAGCAGGATCCAAGCAAAGTCTGAAGCTGACTTCTTCTGTAGGCTACCGGGGGGGGGGGGGGGGGTTGCATGTGTCTCGGGGCAGGACACCACAAATTGTCGGCTTCAAATCAAAGCCTTTTATGCAACTGCTCTTACACAAGGTACTCGAGAGCACCACCAGCCCCGTTCGGCTCCCAGGCTCCCCGACATGCAATTAGCGCTGCGGGTCTGGCCCTCAGAGCAGCTCCGGATCAGCCGGTTCCTCCGGCCAGGCAGGAACCGCCACGGGTGATCAGGCGCTGCTCTTCGCCATGTGTTTTGGACTCTCGCCTCAGGATACTGGAGACCTGGGAACACGCCTTCCTCTCACCCTTCCTAAACGGCTGCGGCGAGCCGAGGGGGCCCGTTTGCAGAGACGTGCGATTCCCCGCGTGGGGTTGGGGCACTGGGCCTGTCTCTGCCGCTCTCCTCCTGGCTGCCCCAGTCCCTTCCTCCTCCACCAAGGCCCCGTCTTTGAGCTGCACGAGACATTCAAAATGGCTAAACCCACACGCCTCTGCTTTGCAGACTCCTTCCCTGAAGGCACCTGCCCGGGCCCAGGCATGTCCCCGTTGTGCAGCACAGAGGGACGAACAGGGTCCACCAGGCGTCTCCACACCCACCACAGAAACTCCGTCTTCGCCCAGCCGTCCAGCAGCCTCACTCGCCCCTTTCCTGCCTCCAGCGTACCTCAGGAATCCTCCACTGCTGCTTGCAGCTCTACGGCCCACTCTGGGGAGCGTGCGCCCTGTGCGTTCCCCTCTTTGGGCCAGACTTCGCCTCCCGAGGAAGCCCCCGAGCAATGTCTTCTGTTGGAATTGAACGACCTGCTTGGCAATTCCCCCCCAAGGATCTGCCGGGCCGGCCAGGGCCAGGGCTTCCTGCCAGCTCAGCCACATCTGCGGCTTGCGCGAGGGCCTGGGCAGCACCAGCGCGACATGGACTGGACCGACACTTCTGCACTCTCCCACACACCTCGATGCGTGGGGAAGAGAGAAAATCATCAGGGCAGGAAAAGGGGGGACCCTGCCATGAACGGGAGGTGCGACACACGCCCCCCTTCTCGTGAGCAAACGCCCGCTGAGTCTTCGGGCTTCCTCGCCTTTTGCCCACTGTGGAGGTGCCCGCAGGGGCCACATCCAGAGCGGTCCTTGCTGCCCCTGGCAGCCGGTACCCCTGCAATGCATATGGACATGCACGTTTCTGCAAGTCTCTTTTGATTCAACGAAAACGCATCCCTGCCAGGGACTGGGGTCTCAAAGTCCTCAGGAGGACCGACCCTGGGGGGCCATTCCCAAGCCCCCAGAGGGTCCCCTCTGCTGTTCTTCCTACTGCAGGGCTTTCCTTAGGGCCTTACTATGCCTAGTGTCGTTAAATTGGAGGCAAACTTGTTCATCCCTTAAGGAACAAATGGCAGTCTGTTTGTCCCACCACCAGGCGAACGACCCCAGCCTCGTGCCGGGCAGCTCCCCCCTGGGCCGGTGCGTGGCTCCTGCTCCCCATGGAAAGGGGGGGGCGGCACGGATGCGAGGCACTGCCTGGTGCCTGGCGGGTCCTGGGAGGTGAGCTGGGGGCGAGAGGACGCCTTGCTCGAAGGGTGGCCAGGTGGGCTGGCTGTGGCCCCGCTCCCCAGCGCTGGCTCCCGGGACCCGTCCGCCTCCCCGTGGTGACCTGCTCCGGGGCAGCGCTCCATGCTCCTTGGGCGCAGCTGCCCGCCTGCGGAGGAGGGCCTGCCGCCTCTGCCCTGGTGCCTGACGGGGAGGGTGGTTCGAGTTCCAGGCGGGGGAACGGCGAGGCGAGAGCAGGGCCGTGCCCAAACGAGAACCAAGACAGAGCAGTTACCTGATCGATACGCGCGGAAGGGGGCAATCCGGCGGATCGACAGCGCCATCCTCGCTCTGCTCCTCCGGCGGGGCTGCTTCTAAGGGCACGACAGTTCAAGCTGGGGGGGGGGGGGGATCCCCAGGATGGAGACGGTGCGCGGCCGCGAATCTGCTCTCCCTGCCTCGTGCCGCGAAGGCCTCCGGATCTCGCCCGCGCCAGCACAACATTGTGGAAGTTCAGCGAGGCAGGGCCTCTCCTCCCTCCCTCCCTCCCTCCCTCATGTTACCTCAACACCCTCAGGGCAGGGGCTTGGCAAGCCTGCGAGGGACGCCGGCGCCCATCACCCACAGCCACTCCCGGGGAGCAATCCCACCCGAATGGAAGGGCTCCCGCCACCCGGGACCTACCTGTGGGCCCAGGGCTTCCCTCTCCTCTGCCTCCTCTTCCTCCGTGGCATTGGAGGGCCACTGCGGCAGGTCAGGCGTGCCGAGAACTCCTCTGTCCTGCCCGGACGGGACCCGGGCCGCTTCACGCCATTCCTGCAGAGGGAGAGTCCAGCCATCACGTGTGCTTGCGACCCGGACGGGGACGTCCCCGGCCACGGTGCCCGTGTCCCGCAGCAACCAGTGAGCCCATCCCGGGATACCAGCGAGTCGGCAAAAGCAAGATACAGAGGGCATTCCCAGAGGCTTCTTTAAAAGGTTTATTTAACTTTTTAAATTTGAGGTAAAATACTTTTCATATCAACTTCCATAACAAAATACAGAGCTATCAGATACCCCTGGAAAAAATATGTATATTATACATATATTTCTATAACATTACATCATATATATAATATATATGCAAACTTTTTTTGAAGACTTTATAGAAAGTGGAACGTCTAAAGGCACTGCACAAAAGCATGAGGACTACTTACATTTTTTTTTAAACATACAATTTTAATCCTGCTTTACATGGACAAATACCTCAAGCCAAGAGCTGCCTGCTCATACAGGTTGAGTCCCTGCTGAGCCAAAGCATCATAAAGACAGGACCATGTCTCGTGAAATGGATTTCGAGGAGGATCATCAGTAAATACTTTGTTGCTTCAACACTAAAAAAACTAAGTGAAGAGAATTTCAAACCAAAAAGTCTCTCTTGTTCAAACCCACCAGGATTCAGAAGGTACAAAGAAAAACGAAAAGTAAAAGACGGTTATGGAATTGAAGGAGCAACCAGAGAGAACCCTCTCCTGACCATAAGAACTTGCCGTCTCTCGCGGGGGAAGGAGAACCGACGTTTGCTTGCCGGGGTGGGCCGGGGCTCTCCCGGGAATGGCTGTCCCGGGACAGCTGCCGAGGGCAGGGAGACGAGGGCTGGGAACGGGGCCGGCACGGCCCAGAGCACAGCAGTCCAGCGTCACTGGGCGCATCCCGCTTCCCGAGCGTGTACGACGCGTGATGCCCACCTAACGCACCGCCCTCCTTGCTCGCCCGGCCGTCCAGGCTGGCGTGCGGCTACGAGATCTGGCTCTTCCGGCGAGGACCCGACAGCCGACCTGGTCGTCAGGGTTGCGCCAGGCCCGTCGGTCGAACCTTCAGACGCTGGTGGTGGTGTAGAGGTCCGATATCTGCCCAGCCCACCCCTCAAAGTGCCCCCGCCAGGATGGAGAGGGGCAACTAGCAGGTTTCCCGCCCCCCCGCCCCATTTCTACAGCTAGAAACTCAAAATGGTTTTTAAAATGTGAATGCATTCTTGATTCCCCGTCACAGGTGGAAGTCAGCCACCCACCGTTCCCGCTTCAATATTTGGCACAACGAACAGCCTCCCGTTTCACGTTCGCTGCCATTTTGCTGCCAGGGGGCGGGCGGGGAGCGTGGCCCCCTGCAAAGCCGCCGCCACGGATCCCTGAGCCGGCCGCGGGGAGGGAAGGCCTGCCGGTGCAGCCGGACTCCCGCCGCCCCCCCAGCAGCCCCCTCGTCCAGCACGGATGCTGGCCGGCCCACAGTCCCCGCCCAAGAACCTGAGTCCGACACCCGTGAAAGGCGAGGCCCGCTCCGCAGTGCAATGGCTATCGGGGGGCCAGGTGGCGGGCGGGGGACCCACTGACCCCCCACGGCAATGGGGGACACCCTCCACACTCGCCCCCCGCCCCCTCTCCCCCCATGTAGAGAGCCCCCCGCCCGGATTCTGGCACTTGGGTACGACGGACTGACGGCTGGCATGTCCTGACCAAAGGCGGATGCGGATTTCAGTTCCTGAGTTGTGAGCCCACCTCCGTCAGGCCCCCCCCTCGGGAAGGCCCCCCGCAGCCAGAGGGGTGCGTAAGGCTGAAGTGGGGACCCGGTGGCTGAAGCTGCGGAGGAACGTGGCGTGTGGCAGGGAGACAGGCGCAGCCCCGACCCACTCCCTTTCCCCGCCCAGGCGGGCCCTGCCAGGTGCCAGCCCCACAGAACGCCCCCCTGCCCGGCCCCCCGGGCACCTCCAGCCTCGCCAGCAGGCCTGGTCCCCCCAGACTGACCTGGAGCCAGGCCAAGCGGAGGAGAGAGGCACCGTGGGCATTCCAGTGGGGCAGCAGGCGAGCCCAGAGGGCCCGGGCTCGCTTTCGGATCCTACCTGGGAGGTGCAGCGGGCCGGGGGTCTTGCGCCTGCCCCGAATTAGGCAGGGCACGACTCCCGAGCTGGCCAAGGATGCAGCCAGTGGACAGGAGCCTTGGCCTGGGCAACCAGCGCACCTGTCCGTGGCCCCGGCACCCCATTCAGAGGCTTGCCCCACAAGGATGGGGCACAGTGCCAAGAGCAGAGTGGGGCTCCTCCCATCCTGCACTCCCAGGCACGAAGGCAAGTGGGCCGTGGGCACGGCGGACCCCCACCCCTCCGGCCACAGCCCCGTGAGCCCCTCTCCCTGACGCCAGTCTCACAAAGGTGCAGTTAAGGCAAGGCGGAAAGGGGCCCCGAGGCCCCGTCCTTTGGGGAGGGCCCGCAGCCTCTCCGCCCGGACGCCCCCAAACACACCTGCGCATGGACAAGGCCCGGGAAGGGGAGTCCAGAAGGGGCGCATTAAAGGCATTCGGGTTTTGGTTGGTTGTGTTACATCCACTTAATTCCCTATCCCTGAAAGCTTCCGCAACTGCTTGCCATGGCTTCTTCAATATTCCAAACAGGTTATCTTAAACGCGACCCCCCCACAAACTAACCCCCGAGGGGCGAAGTCTCCATGCCTGGCAGCTTCCGCGGCCCGCAGAGAACATCGTCTCTCCCTATAACTCGCGCTTCTCCAATGCAAAGACAGTGCAATATGCCCATCCCCCCCGAGAAAGTATCTCCGTTTTTGACACAAGACACATTCCAGTTCTTAACAGAAAGGGAGTCCTCCTCTGGTCGCCACCCACCTCCCAGGAAAGGAACTATGTACATTCAGAGAGATCCGCGCTCGTATCAAATGCTATAGAAAAAGACGGGGCTCGGCAGCCGCTGGCAAGACGGCCAAGCGTTGTCACAAACGGACAGCCCGAGCACCGCCGGAGCGGCCCCCCGCCAGTCCCCCCTTGGAACGTGACAAACTGCATTTCACCTGTAGCACGCACGCACGCACACACACACACAAAGCCGCCCCCAAACCCTCCAGAATGTGCCAAGCCACTCCCACCCCTCCGCCTGCCACCCGTCCTGCAGCCGGAGGGGCCTGCGCCACGGGCCCCGCTGTCCTAACTATCCACAGCAGCCTTCGGGGCCAGCAGGATGTGTGGGGTGTCCAGACCGCTGGCCCAGCACGGCTTGCGGCCCCGGTCCCGGTCGCCCTCCTCGGGGGCCTCTGCCTGCCGGTCGCCATTCCAGCGGCGTTTGAGGCGCAGCTTGGGGGGCATGAGCGCATCTTCCCTCTTCTCAGGGGCCCCGGGCTCCCCCGCAGCTTCCTGTGGGGGCCTCTCACCAGCTCCTCCTTCCTCTTGCTTTGGCTTTTCGACCACCGGAGCGCCGGCCTGGGGGGCTGCTGGTGAGGCTGCAAGCCAAGACGGGGCGACCGGCCGTGCGAAGAGCGGCTTCTCCTGGTCCTGGATCCTGGGGGGCACGGCTGTGCCAGCGGGCCCCGCCAGGTCCTGGGCTGGGGAGCCCCTGCTGGCAGGCTCCTGGTCCAGGACAGGCTCGGTCTTGATCTGGGGGGCTGCTGGGGGGGGCTGGGGGGCGGCCGGCCCGCCCCCTCGGCCGCTGTCCGGCCGCTCACGGTTCTTCCGTCCAGCAGGCGGGGGCTGCAGCTTGATGGGGAAGGGCGGCTGGTCCTCCGAGGGCAGCTGGCACGGCAGGTGTGGGATGAGCAGGCCCGGGTAGCGGGGGAAGGTCCGGGGGCTCAGGTGGTAGTTGAAGACGGAGCAGGCCTGGGAGTGGAGGAAGTGCTTCATCTCCTCCGGGTTGAAAGAGAAGCAGCTGCTGCCCCCCGCCGCAAAGGGGCTCATGCCCGGGGAGGGGCTGTAGGAGAAGAGGGTGGGCGTCAGCGACAGGGCCGGCGAGAGGGGGACATTCAGGACTCCCCCGCGGGCTGGAAGGGGGGACACGGTGAACGGGCTGTGGGGGTCTGCGTACATCCCAGGTCTGCCGAAAAGAGGAAGCACCAGGTCTGGCTTGCGCTTCTGCGGGCCAGCACCGCCCAGGGCCGTGGCGGCCACGGCGGTGGCGGAGCCCCGAGAGGCCAGAAGGTCGACGCCGCGCCGCCAATCTGGAGAGCCGCCCTCTGGCTCTGGCACAGGCGGGGACTTCTCCCCGAGGCTGCCGTTGCTCACAGCCTCCTGGCTGGGAGGGCCCAGCGGCCTGCCCGAGAAGCAGCCGGGCTGGGCCTCTTCCGTGGGAGACTGGCCATCCAGCGGAGGGAAGTGGAACCGGGAGGAGGCCGTGGGGACCGGCGGAGCGCTCTGCGGAACGACACCTGTGGAGGAGGAGACAGGCAGGAGGCGGCGTTAGCAGCGAGGCCGGCCAGAGTCGGCCTCCAGAAGCGGCCAGCCGGGCCAGCAGACCCAGCAGGTCGGGGGCGAGGGAGCGTGGGCCTGGGAGGGCCACGGCTGCCTTGCGCAAGACCACAGGCAGCGAGAGAGCCAGTGTCGGAGGCTGCACAGGCTCGGGCTCTCGCACCCCAGCTCAGTTCCGCGTGGCAGCGGGATGCAGAGCGGAGGTGCCACCCTCAGGCTGGCCCTGCAGCGCACGGTTCTTTCAAGGCTCCAGGGCCAGGCCATCTGAGGCCAAAGGCAGGGGGCACTCGGCCGAAGGCCCGGCCACTTCTCTCCTCCGCTGTGCTGCACTGCAAGGGAGCCATCGGAGATGGTCTTTCCACTCCTGTGCCGCACAGAGGAGCAGCTCCGGTGGCCAGCGGCCCGCAGAGCGTCTTCTCAGCCGCAAGGGGGGCGCTCCGTGTGCTGCAGAGCAGAGCGTGGCTCCTGCATCACTCGTGGCCTCAGGCAAGCGGCCGCCCCTACTGCTCCCCGGCAGCCCAGAGGGGAGCATGGGGGACCCGAGGGGGAAGGAGGGGAGCTCTGAGCCAGGAGGCCGGGTCGGCTGCACCCTGAGCTCAGCCTGGGCTCCCGAGGCGCTCCTCAGGCTGCGGGGCCACACAGGCCCTTCCGCGGACATGTGTGGGGCAGTTTTGCCGCTGCTGTCCAACGGGAGGAGGCCTCCCCTCCGCCACTGAGAAGGCTCCTGGCCACCCCACCCCAGCCCTCCCCCACACTGCTGGGCTCCCCGCTCACCAGTGGGCCGGATGTTAATGAAGGGGTAATTGGGCATCACCAGCTTATTGAAGTTGAACTTGTAGGTGAAGCGCTTCCCTTTCGTCTTGTGAAGGATCCGCTTGTTATAGTAATATCTGCCAAGAAAGCGAGCGAGCGAGCGAGGTCAGCAAGCGCCACTCTGGGAGCAAATGCGGGCCCCGGGATGCGCCTGCAGTCGGGATGCCCGGAGAGAGTGAGGGGCGCAGCAAGACCCAACCTTGCCGCCACCCTTTCGTCCTCCTTGGCACTCAGCAGAGCGCTCTGGGGCCATCGGGGCCGCTATGTGCTGGCCCCACGGCTGCCTCACGCCACCCCAGCCCCTGCCCAGGATCCTCGCCAGGCACTTCCAGGGAAAAATCCCTGGCAGCTACCGAGGCTCCGATACTGGTGCTATCACAGCTCAATCAGGGCAGTCTCCGCGGCGCAGCCGGCTCAAGGCCACCTGGGCAGGTGCCAGGACGCCGCGCGAGGGCGTTGCCGAGTGCTTGCGCAACCACATCCACCCGGGTCCATGCTGCGCTCGGTGCATCGAGGGTGACTAATGCCTTGAGGAGGGGAGCGGTGCCCTGGCACATGGATCGGGCGGTGGCGGGGCCACTCCTGAAGAAACTGCTGGGCCCCGAAGGCCTTAGGAATTTTAGGTGGGGGCAAAGACCCCCTTCTGGGGCAAGGTTCTCGCACAGGGGGGCACCAGTTCCAGGTGCTCCTGGATGACACCGACAGACTCCTCAATACGGAACTGGTCTGGTCCCTCATGCAACCCTGAACTCCTGCGCGGGGTGACTGGCGGCTTTGGGGCATGTTTCAGTATGAGCAGGCGAAGCCGTGGAGGTGCCAAGCCAGCGCCCGGCGCCAGCCAACCGCACAAGCCAAGCTCAGCCCAGGCAAGCCCGAGATGCGGCAGGTTTGGAGCGTGGGGCCCTGCTCGCTGCACACTCTGCCTCCCACCAGCTTTGGCTGGTGGCCCAGCTCTGCTCTGACCTGGCAGTGGGGGCCTGCTTACGGAGCCCCCCCCCCCGTGTGGTCTCTAAGCTCAGGGATGCAGTGCGCTCTACCGCGGGCTGCCCCAACACCGGCTCTGGAGGTGCAGCTTCTGCAAAACGGGTTACGAACAAGGGCCAGGCAGCTCACGCACAGCTCCAACGGTGGCCAGCTGCACCGGCCAGGCGTCTGCTTCTGGGCCACACCAAGCCCACGCTTTACCCTACAAACCTAGCGTGGCTCAGGACCACCAAATGCGGCAGATCACCTCTCCCAGGACACTATGAGCAAGGGAGGCTTGGCTGGTGGCAGCAAAGGAAAGGCCCTTCCCGGGGTACCCCCCGTTCTGCAGCAGGCTCCCCACGGAGGCCACCGGCTGGAGCCTGACCCTACGGCAGGTCACGTCGCTGGATTCACGTTACACGGAGGTATCATGTCAAGGGTCCCACAGGTCTTGTGACTTAGTTTGTGTACTCTGCTGCAGCTTTTAAAACCCGTTTTTAAATGTGGCTTCTAAGTTGTGCATGGTAAATGTTATGTTTTGTTGTTATGTGTATGTTCTGTTATTTGATGCCTGGGGGAAGGTGCCCAGAGAGCTTCGGCTATTGGGTGGTGGACAAATGGAATCACGTGAGCAGCAGCCAGCCTGCAGTTCTGCTCGCTGCTCTTCTCTGGGCCATTCTGATCCTAGCAGAGGCATCCCAGGGAAGGCCTGGGCAGAGCTTCCTGCTTCAACTATGCAGCCTGTGCTTCCTTGCTCACGCAAGCTGCCAGGATGGGATCAGAGGGCACACGGCACCCAGCAGGCCGCAGCTCCCTCGGAGCCAGTGCCAAGTGATCATGAGCCAAGCGGCACGGCCCGTGTGCTCACGCAGGTTGGCACCTGCCCAGTTCCAGCTGCTCTGCAAAATCAGCGGGCGGTGCCCAGGCCAGGAGCTCAAGAGGGCAGGGCCAGGGTGTTGGTGGCTTGCCAAGGAAGACAGCCCGGCATGGGGGGACTAGCCAGAGCCCCCGCCTGATGCCAGGCCGCAGCCAGGAGACGTGCGGTGCCTGCTGGAGGGACTGGGGCGGACATCCCTGCTCAGGCAGCCTCTCCAGGGCAGCCTGTTCATGCCCAGAGAGTGCCCGTGGGTGGCTTGGCTGGGCAGTGCGTGGAGGGGCCCCATGCACGCTGCCTGCATGGCTGAACCAGCTGCGACGGGGAGTCTTTTGGCCTTTCAGGTTAAAGGGGCCAAGACACCGTTGCGGTTGTTATGTTGCTATCGCTCCCATCCCTTTGACGCCCAGGAATCCGATGGCGGATGGGCAGCTACGCATCAGGCCGCTTCCTGGCTCCCAGCCTTCCACCAAGGTGACGCCTTCCGCCTTGCAGCCCAAAGGAAACAAAACGGGGCGGCCGCCATCCTTCAGAGAAGGTCAGGGAAGGCGAGCAGGAGGAGGAGCCCTTCTGGAAGGCCGGCAGCGGGGCCTGCGGGGCCTGCCTCCTCAGGGGTTGGTCCCACACGCTCCACAAGGCGCTCTGCCAGCAAGTCTGCGGCCCGCCAAGTTCAGACTGCAGGGTCTGGCAGGGTCCAGAGGACGCACCAGATGCGGGAACTGAGGGGCAGCCAGCTCTGGCCGGGCCAAGGTGCACTGGGGAGTGGACCTCTCACCCCCGCCGATCCAAGCCTCACCAGAGCGAGGGTCGTGCCAACGGGCCAAGCACGGCCGGCCGGCCGGCCGAGGAGGGCGCTCCCAGCCTCGCCTGCAAGGCGGCCAGCGCATTCGTCCTCAGCCCCACTGACCTGAGGGCCCGGCTCAGCTTGTCGTAGTTCATCTGGGGCTTGCACTTCCTCCTGCCCCACAGCCGGGCCACCTCGTCGGGGTCCTTGATGACGAACTCCCCGTACTCGCCCTGCTGCCAGGCGATGACGTGCCGGAACTCCTCCTTCTGCAGCAGCTCCAGGATGAAGTGCCAGAGCTGGATCTGGCGGGAGCCCGGGCTGGATTCGGCCTTGTGTGCCCAGTCTGGGAAGTGGTAGCCTGAAGAGCCCAAGACCACAGAAGGAACCATGAGCTGAGAGGCCAAGACATGGAGGCCCACCTCCTTCTGATAGCCAGCCTGCCTCCTGTCACCCAGCCCTCCTCTTCACGTGAAACTTCATTTCTAAGTCACTCTAAAAAGCTCTTTAAAAGCAACTTGACCCCACAAACAAGAAACCCCACTTTCCAACATGTGGAAAATAGCCTGACCTACATCCTTTCCCCCTTAGCTGCAAAATATTATCCCTAGCTCAAAGCCAATGGCCACAGAGTCTGTTTGGTCCTGGGTTTGAGGATGGCGTGACTAGATGAAAAGCCCTTGCCTAGGGTGACCTCGACAAGCTACCCTTCCATCTCCCACACCCTTCTCTATGGGGTGGCAGTTCCCCTTTCTCCATCACTTCTCCTGTCAGGTTCCCTGCCTCACATGCAGCTCAAGAGCCTCTCATGCGAAGCTGCCCCTTCTGGCGTCTTGCTCATTGTGGCTTCCTTGACATTAATACCGCCATCAGCCACCCGTGGACTGGCGTGGCTTTTTTCAACCTGATCAGTCTACAGGCCCGTCTGGAAAAGAGCTCTTGGTGCAGGACAGGACTACAGTCTGCCGCCGACCTCCCATGCCAAAGGGGCTGTTCCCATGCAAAGAAGGCAAAAGCACCGAGTTTATCAAAGGCCAACTTGTGGGTATGAGCACAAAGCACCTGGCTTACCGCCTCCTCCTTCTGGCTTTTCCATGATGGGGCAGCCTGCCTTCATTTCTCTGCTTCTGCTGGATGTCCAGGAGACGAAGGGAGAGAAGAGGAAAAGCCACAGTTACCTCTCTGCACATACTCACTGCAGACAGCTTTCCAGCCACTCAACCTCCTTCAGCTCAAGAGCAACCTCCCCAGGGGACCCCCGGAAGGCTGCAGCCAGGGCTGCTCTCACTGCTGTTTCGAAAGCTGAAATCACATTCCACCCAGCCTGCAGCAACAGACAGCAAGCGTGCCATTTCATATTCCTTCCTAGCTTCAGCATTACGGAGCTCTGTGCCAAGGAGACGACTGCCGGGTCTCACACAGCAGGAGAAAGGATCTGCCTGGCTGCAGACTGGGAGAGCGGCCCTGAATGTTGGCTCAGCCACTAAGGGGCAGGGCAAAGGATCAACCCCCAGTTCTACTTGAAGAAAGAACATCTAAGCGTGATTATTTCAGAATGATGAAACCCACATGAAGCACAGCCCACAAAATCATGGCCTTCCTTATTCTTCAGGAGTTTCTAGAAATAAAACACACTTTACTTTCTTGAGAGTGTGACACCACCAAGCCCACTTCTTCAGTGCTCTGGCATGTGCCGTTTGGCCCACTTGTAGCAGGAGAAGGAAGCTCTCTGAGCCCACAGGAGCCCTGGCAGTGGGAGTGGCACTGACTGCCCCAAGTGGCATTTCCAGGCACTCCAAGGGACAATCAGGACACGGGCTCGTCAGCCCAGCCCAGAGGAAGGAAGAATGCTGCTTCCAGATTTGTGCCCTCAAAGCTTCCGCTGGGCGGCTCTGCACTGAGGTGACAAAGCTGCTGGGGAATGAGGGAAAAGGGAAGCGCATGCCAGGAATCAGAGCTGCTGGTGTCAAGAGAAACAGGATCCAGCAGTGCTGCCGGAGAGGCAGCGGCCTGAGGGTGTGTTATGCCATAGCCCTTATTGGCACACACGATCCTGCCAGCCTGAGACAGCCCACCTGCCTCTGGAAGCCCAACTGCTTGGCAGGCCTCCTATTGGTGAGCCAGTCCTCTAGTGCACGAGAGACAGAGTTTTCTTGTTGGCTTCCTTCCCTTCCACCACACCCGTGTTTAAACAGTGAAGTCACCCGGAGACTATTTTAAGCCAAGAGAAACCCCCAGAGCCCTACAATCAGGAGTCAATCTGCAGATCCCTCCACCACTCCTCTGCCTTCCTGAGCAGGCAATTGATAAGGTGGTAATAAAGGGATTACTTGACCCTGCATTCACAATGCTCCACAGCCTTTCTATGGGGAACAAACGCTCCCTCCCAGGACAGCCCAATTCCCTACAGAGAACTGCCTGCTGGCACCAGAAGGGAGACAGCTGACAAGGAGGGCCAGCCACACACTGCCTGTGGGGCAACCTCAGGCACAGAACACCCGCCAAGCATGACCAAGCCTCTTCGGGATTCCTGCATAGGAACCAGCAACAAAGAGAGAACCAGGGTCAGGTCTGGAGTCATACGCCTGCCTGTGCACAAGCCCGTCTGGGCTTGCTGCCTCTCAGCCGACCCGCCCTCAGAGGGGTTAAATGGCTGCAGGGGGGAAAGAAACATCCATGCTTGCCACACCCAGCGTAAATGGGGGGAATGTACGAGGATCACCAACACAGAGAGATCTCAGACTGAAACTGGGCTCTTTTTGTCTCCAGTACATCACCCATGGTGCCAGTCTGTCTCCCACACACAAAACCCTTCGCTCGGAGCAGCCAGACGCCTCCTCAGGCATTCCCTTCCATTAACTTATTACACATATATTCCAACTATCCTCCTGAGAGTCGGTGACCACCACCAGGATCGCCCAGGGACTTTGCGACAGCGAATCAGGCTCCTCGGACTGCAGCCAGCACTAGCCCTAACTCCTGCCATACCGCTCACCTTCTGCTGCTCCGAAGAGCCAAATAATATGAGGTACAAGGACACCTGCTAACCTTACAGGATCGCAAGAAAGGCTGCAACTGGCTAACTACAAGAACATACAATGCCTGGGAATGGGCATTTCTCATCAGCTTCTTTCCTCTCTTCTCCCCTCTATAAATCAGCACTGCCTTTGGAAAATCATCTTACGCTTACTCAGTCTGAATTTTCATTTAGTGCAGCTACTTTGGAGGCCTATTGCCAAGCAGGATATTGTTTTCCACACACACACGAGCATAGGAAGGCAGAAGAGCCCTGAGGCCGGATCGGGCTAGAAGGAGCCAGCCTAGGCTAGCGCTGAGATCCCACAGCAGCCAGCCAGGCCAGGCGGCCCATGGGAACCCACCAGGACACGAAGGCAGCAGCCGCCGCCCACGCCGGGCAGAGAACAGCTCAGCTGCCCCGGCCAGCGCAACCGGCGATCCTGGCCAGCCTTCCCCACAGGCCGCGGCGCGGCCCCCCTTCCAGCAGCCCTCCCGATCGCTGCCCGCCCCTGCCCCACTGAACGCCCTCTCACCTGTGGACGGGGTAGGCAGCCTGGCACCTACAGACGCTGCCTCCAGCTCCTATCAGCCACGGCCAATATGGCCGGTGGCAAGGAATGATGGGAACTGGAGTCGCCTGAAAGGCGATCGCGGGGGTGGGGCGCCGCGGGCCCGCCGGCTCTCCCCCGCCAGCCGCATCGCAGCGCGCTCGCCCCCGCCCCCGCGACGCGGAGGCCTCGAACGACGCCCCGGCCCGGCCCCGCCTCACCTGAACCGCGGCCGCTGGCTGGATCCGACCCTCCCCGGCCCGCTGGGCTTGGCGGCGGCGCTCTCTCCGGCGGCGGCGCGTCTCCCTCGCCCCGTGCCCGCTCTCGGTCTCGCCCGCTCGCTCGGCTCCCTCAGTCCCCGCTCCCTCCCCCAGCTCCAGCCACCGGAAACGGAAACGCCTCGTCGGTCAGCCACCCACTGCCCTCCCCTGCGTCACTTCCGGGAGGAGACCGCTCGCCCGAGGCCTTCCTCGCTCGACAGTCAGCCGTTTCGGCGCGGCCGCGAGCAAGAAAGGAAGGCGGGAGACTTGCGTCAGTTCCGGGAGTCGGAAAGGGGCGCTTGGGATTGGGAAGCGCGCGCGCACCCGCAGCGGCGGTGCAGGTCGAGCCCTGGCTAGAGCGTCACCGTAGCGCCGCTTCCGGACGAGGGCATGAAAGACCGGAAGGGGCCGAGAAAGCGCTCCGTGCTGCACACACTTCCCCTGCTTCACTGAAGAATTGGGTCCCCGGAAAGAAGGGGCGGTGATCTGTGGTCCGCACGGCCATCCCCGCAGTGTGGCTGCAGCGCCGAGCGCCGCCCTGCCGCTGGCCGCGGTCTCCCTCGCCACCGCAGGCCGGGCGCGGGGGCAGCGCACGGAGAGGACATAACGCCAGTCCGCCTCCTCTGTGCTGTACCTGATCCGTTCGCTTTATTGTATCACCGCCCTGAGACACAGTGAAGAGTGGGCATAAGAGCCTTAAATAAAATAAATGGCTAAACTGGCTGGCGGCGATGATGCCTGATGTGGCACGTCTCCATCGCACGGAAGGGCAGTTTGCGTTACCGCTTGCCCCTTGCAGAGGCATCCAGCTTGAGCTGCCTCTGTGTGAGCTACACGCAGCGGCACTGGCCTCAGCCTCTGCTGGGGGCGAATCGCTTTGCTGGGTCTCTGAGGTGGTTGGGAGCAGTTGCCCATCAAACATCTCAAATCATAAAGCAGGTTAAAGTCTGGAATAGGTCACAGGGAAGGGGGTGAGGACCCCTTGAGATATCCCTGGCCCCCACCCATTTAGCCAGGAGACATACTAGTGATGCTCAATAAGCAACAGGCTAGGCTGTCTGCCCATCTAAATAGTGACTTTTTGCTGTGTAGCTGTTTTAAAAGTCACAAACTGGCAGGAGCAGGCTCTGGTGAGCGAAGGCAGAGCTGGCCACCTGAGTCCCTCCTCATGAGCTGGACCCAGTGGAGGAGTCCAAGGCATCGGAAGGAGAGCGGGGGCAGGCTCAAGGCCCTCTGTCTCGCTGCCTGACAGAGATGACCTAGGGGAGAGGCTGAAGACCAAAGCTGAGTAGCAAGCTCAAAGGGTGAGCGGCTGGGTGGAGAAAAGAAGTGAGGCATGATACCAATACACCAGACCAACAACATGCAAGGTTTCAGCTCTTTTTTTAATTGACCTCATTTCCTGGCCTTCCCTTTACCTCAGCATTTCTTTCTTGAAAACCAAAAGTTCTGTGGCAGTACTTTTTGGAAACAGCTGTTGGAGGTCATACGGGGGGGGGGGGGGGGGTGTTTGTTGGTTAGCTATAAATAAAACACGGCCTCATAAAGTGCATTCTCTGGGAGGCATCCAGGAATCTGCAATGGAACAAAATGGAAGCAGTCAGAAAGTCCAATCAGCTCAGTTGCAAAGACACGCCATGCAGAAAAAGGATAAATTGTGTGAGCACAGCAAAGGTCATTTATCACAGAGAGCCCACTAAACGAAGTAAAGAAGACCACCCGGCCATCCTAATTGGGAGAGACCACCTTACAGAGGCCCTGAAGTGTTGCCCACCCAGAATAACGTAGGTGGGGTGAAGCTGGGAAACGGGTTCACAACAACCTTGCAATGTAGGCCAACTGCAAACAGGAGGCTGGGCTGAGGCCCAGAAGCCAGCAGAGCGCAATGCTGCAGCGATGCCTCCCTGCGGATTGGGTCGAACTAGGGGAGCAGCACCGGCTTGCTGGCTCTCTGGGGCTACCTCTGGGGCTGAAGAATGAGACGGCCTCCCCTGCGCTCGTCACTTACCGGGCACGGCTTGCCTGTCTCAGAGGCTCCTTCGCACTGCGCATTGCGAGGTCCAAGAGAAAGTCCCCCCGGGGCCGACCCTCGAGGAGCCAGGCAGCGGGCGGGCACGGCACGGCACGGCACGGCGCGGCGGCGGGGAGGGCCCGAGGGGGCTCGGCCTCCGCCAGGAGCGGAGCAGGCCACACGCGGCCCCCGGGGGCTCGGAACAGCCGGGCCGCGGGGAGGCGCCGCACGCCACGACTCTCGCTGCCCCGCGGCCGGACTGCAGCTCCCGGCGCGCCCCGCGGCCGGACTGCAGCTCCCGGCGCGCCCCGCGGCGCGCGCCTGGCGCTTCCAGTCTCGCCGGCGCGGACGGCGCTGTGAGTCGCGGGCACCGGGCACGACGCGCTCGCCGCTCCCGGACTTGGTCCGCCGCGGCCCGGCGCTCGCCCGGCCGTCCCTCGCAGGGGCCATGCGGCTGTCCCTCCTGCTCGCCGCGGCGGAGAAGGCCGCAGTGCACCGGGGCTACCGCTACGGCATGAACCGGCCCGGGTCGGTGGCCGACAAGCTCCAGAACCCGCCGTGGAGGCAGCGCAAGAAGGTGTTCGTGGAGCCCATCCGCGACGAGGACTGGAAGGTGTTCCGCGGCGACACGGTGCGTCTCTGGCCGGGATCGGCCGGAGGGCCCTGGCGCGGGATGGGAGCCGCCCCGGGGGTTGGCAGCCCGATCCTTGGCTGCGTCCTCGCACTCTCCCGGGGGCTGCCTTGGAGGCTTCTCGGAGGCCACGCGGGGGGGCCCGATCGCCTTCCGGGCGCTGCGGCCTCGGGAGGAGCCCCCTCCACCCTCGGGCTTCCTGAGCTGCTGCCCAGGGGGCATCTCTTCCCCTGGGTGTTTGGGTCAGCCGGCTGACTGTTTGCTTTCACGTGCCTTAGGATATAGTCACATCTGTGCTGGCCACCTTAAAAAGCATCAGAGCTATAAAATTAAGGTGCTGCACGAACTAATTGCAGTACCATGATAACGAAGTGAGAGGGGACCTGCTAGCATAAGTCAAGGAAAGCCCGTGTGAGTGCGTGCATTTCCCAGGCGGGTTGGATACCCGTGTCCATTTTTGCCTCTGGGCTTAGATGTGGGAGGGGACAGATGCCACCGCTGAGAAGGCTGTACATGGAAACTCTCTCCGGGACTTCTGAATTTGTTCTGTTCTGCATTGGTTACTGTCTGCTGCCTTCAGCTCACAAAAATAAGCTAGCAGATACTTTAAAACCCCAAAACAATGTCCTTCCCCCACTGTCAGAGGCAGCCAGGGTCCAGGGCCCTGACCTTTCTCCTCACAACACATCTTCTTCCAGGTCCAGATCCTCACTGGGAAGAAAGACGTCGGTAAACAAGGGCTGGTGATTCAGGTCATCCGGGAACGGAACTGGGTGGTGCTGGAGGGGCTCAACTTGGTAAGGCCATGGCTGTGGGCACAGCGCAGCCTGCACAGAGTGCAGGATGTGTCCCCTGTGTGACCAGGACAGCCCTGCACCTGCTGCTCCTGACCTGCATGCTGGCTGGACCAGTTGCAGGAGGGCAGCCAGAGATGGGAGAAGGTGCCCGAGTGCATGAGGGGGCTTGCAGGACTGCGGACAAAAGCCCCTCGGGCCCTAACCTAGAGTCAGCTCAGGTTCTCTCAGTTCAGGGTACCATTCCTGGGCTCCCATTCCCACTTCATTTCTGACTTGACTCAGCCCCTTCTGCTTAGAACCCATGGGACAGCTTCTCTCAGAGCTGGCCTAGCAGAGCAACTGCTTTCAGGGTGTCTTTCAGGGGCAGGTTCTAGGCAGACACCCCTACAGCTTTCTCCATATTGGGGGTGGCGGGGCTGCAGCCCTCCCTACCTGGCAGGCAGTGGCTGTGCTTCCTGCCGGAGCCCCTCTGCCACCCGCGGGCACGGGAGATCCTTGGCGTGGCTCATCTTAGCTCTGCTCGTTCTCCCCCAGCATTATCGCTACGTGGGCAAAACTAGCTCTTACCGTGGGACGTACGTGGCCAGCGAAGGCCCGCTGCTGGTGCGGCAGGTGGCCCTGATTGATCCTGCCGACAGGTAAGCAGGCAGCCCTGCGGTCACACGGGGTGGAAACAAGAATTGCACGCAGATCGATCGTTCCCAGGGGAAGCAAGAGCCCCCTTCTGGCTGGGGAGGGTGCCTACCTGCCTCAGGGCAGATGGCAGCATCGGGGCGCTGTTCCGCGTCCCGCTCTGCAGCAGGCTGCGCAAGCATTTGAAACCAGGTCCCACTTATGCCTTAGTCCACCTTGCCTTCCTAGTCTTGTTTTCAATAGTTTCTGCCTCTGGACATGGGAATGCCAAGGGACTCCTGAGTGGGTACAAATCTGTTTTTAACCAGCTAGCAGAATCCTGCAGCCTTCGGAAGTTTTCCCTCCTAGCTCCGCATCAGGCGGTTGGGCCATTTTTGCCGGTCTGTGCTCTGTCACCCTAGGCAGCCCACAGAGGTGGAGTGGCGCTACACAGAAGAGGGCGAGCGAGTGCGCGTCTCTCTCAGGACTGGTAGGATCATCCCCAAGCCACCGGAACAGAGGGAAGACGGCATCATTCCTGAGCAGTGGAAAGGTGAGTGGCTGCTCAGCAGGGGGAGCGTGTGTGGTTTCCGCAGGGCCATGGGCAGCTTGGGTGGCAGAGGAGGAGCGGCAGCTTCAGTGCAGCTGTGCCATTTTTAAAGTTATTTTCTATCATCATGAGGAATCAAACCTTGGAAATAGGCTGCACAGCAGCTCTCCAAATCCACACCATGTTAGAAGCAGGTTATGTTTTCTGATTTATTAAAATCCTCTCTGCTTTCCTTCCCATTTGTCTCCCTCTCCATGCCGACCCAGACGGCCCGAAGGACACGTCGGTGGAGGAAGCCCTCGCGAAGACCTACGTCCCCTCCTTGAAGACGTTCCAGGAAGAAATCATGCAGCTCATGGGGATCGTTGAGACACGGTGCTTCAGGAAATCTTACTGGTATTAATGGTTGCGTGAGGCAGCCTGGTCAATGGAAGACATTCTGCCCCTTCGAGGGCCGGGGTCTCCTAAGCCCCCTTTGAAATCTGCATTAATAAAGCTTTTTTGCCCTGAGGATCTCCCCCGCTCCATCTCTCAGCCTCTTACCAAGCTGCAGGGTAGAGCTTGTTCATGGGAGAGTACACATTCACGGAGATACCAGCAAATTGCACACGCACTCTTTGTCCCGCATGTCAGCCCTGTCTCCGGCCTCACATTTCAAAGCGTGGCTCCGTGAGAGGAACTGCTGTCGTAAGGTCCGCGGCCCCTTTCCTGCTCCGTGTTGCCGTTCTGCAGCTCCCTCCCTGGGGTCCAATGCTGCGGAGGAGCACAGGCAGGCCTCTCCATTTCCCTTTGGGACCAGGACAGCTACTCCCCTTTGCTGCTTGCCGGCGTGCCCAGGAGCATGGCGTTCAGTTCTGTCTTTGCTGCTACCAGCACCAAATTCCTGGGGGAGAAGGCAGGATCGAAGAGGGGGATCAGCTCGCACCGGAAACCTGTTGGGGGAGCAGAGGAGTTGGAGGGCCTGTGCTGAGCGCGCTCTGTCCCTTCAGAGCCTGTCGCCAGGCTCTGCGCTGAGTGGCTTGTGCCGGGCATCCGCCGGCGCAAAACGGAGCGCTGAGAAGCGGGAGCTCCTGCCTGAGGCGAGTGGGCCCAGTCAGTCTGAACATGCCAGCGTTTGCACAGGTGGCCGGGCCACCCTGGGATGCGGGCAGGGGCTGGCTGCTGGCACATGCATGCGAGAGCCTTGCCCAGAATCCCCCGCCTGCTGGGTGCGTGCAGAGGTGGCGCCGGAGCGGGAGCGGGGCCTCCCTCGGGCAGGACCGCGTGCCAGCAGACCGCCCCAGGGCCGCACCGGCTGCTGCCAGCCTCCGTGGACGTGTGGCCAGAGGAGACCCAAAGCAGGCCTCGGCAAGCCAGGCCTCGCGCTCCTAGCCGGCTCTTCTTCAGGCGCGGCTCCACACCTGGTGGTCCGGGCGCACGGGCAGAGGTGCGCAGCACCTGGCGTGACGTCCCAAGGGAGATCGGGTGACTCGCCCCAGCAGCTGTGGGCCAGGTCCTGCCCTCTCGTCGAGGACTTCTGGTCCAGGGCTCCCTACCTTGCTCCTGCAGGTAGATCATGCGGTCGACCAGGATGAGGGTCTCCACCAGGGGCGCGAGGAGGAGGGCCAGGCTGAAGAAGGCCACCACCCTCTGCTGCTGGGCCAGCATGGCCTCCAGCGGAGCCGTGTCCAAGGGCACGTCCGGGCTCATTCCGAGACGTGCCAGCCCCAGGCGGGCATACCTAGCGTGGGAAGGCAGGGAAGCCATCCTGAGGGGGTGGAGGCCCGAGGGGCGGTGACGCCAGGCCCGACATGCCAGCTGCGCCGGGTCAGAGCTGAGGAGGGAAGCGCAGCTCCCAGCAAGGGCTTCGTGGGCTTCTTGGCCCAGTTCCAGGATGCCTCTGGGCCCCAGAGGATGTGGACTGGGGCCCCGCCAATGATCCCCAGGGTGGGCCCTTCCTGGTGGGTGAGGCTACGGCTCCCCCCAGGGTGTTTGGGTGGGCAGCCCAGCTGTGCGGATGCCTCTGGCTGCAGCCTCCTCCCACGTCCTTGCCCCCAGGAGCTGCCTACCACGGAGGCGGCAGCCACACGCACCCCCCCACTCACTCTTCGAAGCTCAGGGTGTGGGCCTTGGCGATGGTCTGCACCCCCAGGCGCTTCTTGGCCGGCTCCGCTGCACGTATCACTGTCTCCAGCACGGCCCGGAAGCCGTGTCCCCTCAGCGTTGGGCTGTCGAGCCGAAGCCGCAGGACATAGTCCTCGAGGGCGTGGCAGGCCCCTTCGCGGGCCTTGTAGGAGAGTTGGTGGCCAGGCAAGCCGGCCACCCAGGCGCTCAATGGGTAGCCGTACTCCGGAGGGCCAGGCATGGGGAGCGGCAGGCAGGGGCCCAGGCCCGGTGGCCTGGGGGCCTCCTTTGTGGTCAGCTTCATGTAGCAACAAGCCACAGAGGTGATCCCCACCACACGTGGGCAGCGCACAAACTGCCGGAGGAGGGCCACGCTCAGGTCCCCACAGGCATGCAGTCCCGTGAGCAGCAGCTGCTGCCCCCCAGCAGGAGCGCGTGGGGGGGCAGGGGAGTCTCTGCTGCCCCCTGCCAAGAGCCTGTGCCCAGGGGAGGCTGGGATCTCTCCTCCAGCAGCTGCTCTGTCTCCCTCAGGAGAAATGGCGGGTTGGCAGCCCTTCTCTTCACCACCGTCGGGAATCTTGGAGTGGGAATGGAGAGCTACGGCTGCTCCAGAGGATTCGTGCGCTCCGCTGCCCAATGTGGGGCCAACCCCTTCCTCCCCACAACAGTGTAGCAAGCTCAGGAACTCCTGCCATGGGGCCAGTGGGTTGACCCAGCCCGTCACATGGTTCGGCCCCTGGAGCAAGAAGCTGTCTGAGGTCTATAGGGAGGCAGAGCAGACAGATCAAGGGTGGCTTGAAGCACAAAATACCGAGGAACTGATGAGGCTGAAGCAGGGCGGAACCAGCCAGGCCCTCGAGCTCGCTCTGCCCTGCATTCGCAGTGGAGGCCCCGCTTTGGGGACGCTGGGCAACTCGCTCCCCTCCCACCCCACCTCGCTCCTCAGACTGCCCTGGACGGGCTGCCAGGAGTCCAGAAGAAACTGCAGTTCAGATTCTTCACTGGAGGGCCCTGATCTTACTAGCCCGTTGTGTCCACAACACACGTCCAGGTGTAATGCTGGCCTGGAGACCACAAGCACAAAACTGTCCCCCCGCCCCCCCCCCGCAGCAATGAGTTCCAGGTTGGCTTCACCCACTGAGCTTCCTGCGCTCCCCCTCCTGACGGCCAGCCAGGCCTGCTCTCCAACACGCCCCATCTCCAGAGGCGTTACCTCATCGCACCTGAGGCTGCTCGGCCTGCTTCTTCTTCAAGGTCTCAATCAGCTCACGATCGAACCTGGTGGCCTCCCTGACCAGCCGGGGATCTCCCTCAATGGCAGTGACGGAGAGATGGAGACCAAAGGCCAGGTAGCGAGACAAGTGGCCCTGTGCCGGGGACACAGCCAGATGCTCAGGGTGCCCCTGGCCTGCCAGCTTCGCCGGGAGGCAGCCAGCTGCGGGGCTTTCCCGTGGAGCACGTCACCCGCCACGACATCAGCCCGACATGCTCCCTTCAAAGAGGGTCCACGTCACGCCTTGCAGTCGCCGTTACAAGCACAGCCACGAGGCGCCACGGGTCACCCTTTGGGGCCCCGGCAGACTCACCTGGCCAGAGCCCACATCGACGATGCAGCGGCACCCAGTGATGTCACTGAGCTGCTTCACCACCTGCGGAAAATGAGACACCCAGCTCAGCAGCCTGGAGGGCCGGGAAGGCCCAGCCACATCCCTCGGCTGCCTCTCCCAGGAGAGGATCAGCAGCAGCTAAGAGTACCACAGCCAGCCAGACATCCCAATGGAAGGCCCACAGGCAGGCAGACGGGCAACAGTGGTCCCCCACCCACACTTCCCGGTGACTGGAGAGTGCCACCTTGGCCTGGAGGCGGCAAAGAGCCATCCAGGGTACCAAGAGCCTGGCTATCAACAGCCTTCTCATCCACCAAGCATCCGCCAGGCCCTACCATTCTAACAAAAGGTTTTCTTCTCCACTTGCTCCAAACCAAGCAGTTTTGCACACCTCCACCATGTCTCTCCAATTCTCAGCAAAGCTGGGGAGTGACTCCTACAGTAGGACGGGGATTGCTTCTGCCTTCCCTCCGTAACCTTTGGCTCATCTGCTCACTTGCCTCACCCCCGCAGCCTGCTTCCCCAACCCGACGGGGAGCCACACCTGCCCGAGCTTTTGGATTTCATGCTGCTTCTTGGGTTTCACGTGCTTCCGGAAGACGGGATGAAGTTTGCAGCTCTGGCACGGATTCTCCTGGAATTCCTCAGGCCTCCTGCCCCCCGAAGGCTGTGCATGGCCACTGGGTCTTCTGGGGAAGGCCAGGGAGTGGGCAGTGGCTTTGAAGGCCAGAAGGGAGAGAGGCCACACGGAGCTGTAACTGAACAGGACAGGCAGGGTGAAGCTGCAGGTGATTCAGATGCTGTGAGGCAAGCTGTGTGGTTAGCTCAGGGCTGTTGCAGGAACAACCGTGTGGAACAGGCCCAGGGCTTGGGCATTGCCTGCTTTCCGCTGCAGCCAGCAGGGCTCTGGGTTGGGCACGCAGGGCTAAACCGCCCAGCTCCAGCAGCTGCGTGTGGCCATTCCAGGGGCCTGAGAGGCAGCTGCAGGGGAGGCAGGCAGGCTGGACTCCGCAACTCCTTGCAACATACAGGCAATGGCAGTGTGGGAGCTCAACCCTTGCTACGGGTTGCCTGGCACAGGCCCAGCTGCAAGAGGCAAGAACCCCTACCTGGCTTCTGCAGAGCCGCTGTGTTCCAGCAAAAGGGCAGCAAGCTGTGGGGACGAGAGGTCAGCCAAGGCTGCTTGCCAGGAAGGAGGAAGGCTGCCCCACAGGTTGTCTGTGAAAAACTCCTGCCAGAGGCAAGAGTGGCAATGGAATTAGCGGCGACGGGAAGACCCCAGCCGAGGCATCACTCCGCGCAAAGCGACGCGGCACAGCCGGGGATCACGGGCCCGGCGCTCTCAAGAACAGAATCACGCCCCCCCGCGCAGGATCGGGCCCAAGGCCCACGGAGCGGCGGCCTGCCCCCACGGCGGCCAGCCGGCTGCCACGGGGGTCCACGAAGGGGGCCGGAGCGCGGCAGCCCCTAGGGTCCGCGCACGGGCATGCGATCCCGGCCCCGGGGCAGCGCAGAGCCGTCAGCCCAGCGCTCCTGCGCGGCCCCTCCGCTCCCCTTGGGGGCCGCCCCGCACGCGCTCCCCCCACCCGGGCCGAGGCCTACTATGATGTAGGCGTCCGTGAGGAAGCTGTACAGGGAGAGGACGCGGGTCAGGTTCGCGGCGAGGAGCTTCCGCGCCTCCAGAGAAGCGCCGCCCATGGCAGCGGGGGCAGCCCGGCCGGGCCGAGGCCGCGGCGAGTCCGCTCCCGGGCGCCGCTGCCCGGCGCCGTCGGGGCCCCGGGGCCGCTTGCCCCTCCGGAAGGCGAGCGGCGCGGGCGGGCCCCGTCGCCATAGCAACCGCGGCGGCGGCGGGGCCGGGCCAGCGCTCGGCGAATGGGCTCCGCCGCCGCGAGGGAAGGGGACGAATCACGCGCGTCCTCGCACAGCCGCGCGTGCGTGTTCGCCGTGCACCCCCGGCGGGGCGCGTGCGCACTCTGGCGGCCAGGTCGGTCCCTTTCCGGAAGTTTCCAACGAGGCGCCGCTCTAGGGCGCCACCGTCTGTGAGCGGAGGGAGGGGCTCGGGTGGTTCCGCTTCCGGCATGGCGGCGCTCCTTCCTGCCGCTCTTTGTGTGCGGCCGCCCGCGGAGCGGCGGGGCGGCGGTGAGGCGCGCGCGGGAGGATCGGGGCGCCTTGGTAGGTGGGAGCCTGTCCGTGTGTCCCGCCCCGCAGGGTTGCCCTGCCTGCCCCGATCGCCCCGGCTCCGGGCCACGTGTCGCCTTCGCGATGGGCTTGATCTACAGGGGGCTGGGGATGAGGGGCCTTGTAGTGCGACGATCCTCATGCAAACGCGCCTCCCGGGCGTGGGGGTCCCGGGCGGCGCGCCCCCTCGGCCCTGGCCCGCGGGAAGTCCCGGGGCGTGCGGGAGGGGTGGGGGCTGTCCGTGCGCCCGCGGCTTCTTTCGCGGGACTGCGGATCCAGGGAAGGGGCTGGTGAGCAAGCCTTGCGTGGCCCGCAGCCTCAGAGCAGGGGTCGGTGGATCAGCGGGGGTGGGTCACGCAGGCAGCCCCTGCGGGCAGCCTGCAGCCTGCCGCTGTGTCCGTTGAATGTCCTGTATGAATAAAAAGTCTGAAACCTGTTCGATTAGTACTGATCTGTCTGTTCAGCCCTTGCCCTCCGTTTCTTGTCCGTCTTTCTGAGTTTTTGCTACATTGCACTCCAGGGTGTCAGTTGAGGGCTGTCCCCCTCTGGTTGCTGGGGTTGCACTATGATGGCATGCATGAGTGCTGCATGTGTCATGAAGTTGCATGGGGTGGGGGCAGGTGTCCAGGGTCAGTGTGTGGAATGAAGTGTGTGAGAAGTGAGAGAGGATGAAATACTGGATCACTCCTGCCCATGCAGCAGACAGCACCTGTTTCTGAGCTGAGGAAACCTGGGGAGCAGCTGCCACGGGCTGCTACGGGCAGCATATCCAAGGCATCTGGAGTTGCCCATTTCAACCCCGTGTCACCTGGAATGCAACTTGCCGGGGTTGCCTTTCTGTGGGACTATTGGCCCTCCCTCCATTTAGCCCATTGAAAGTGAGCTGGACACCTCCCTTTCTTCCTCTAGAGTGGGTGGGCATTTTGCCTTACATGGCTGACTGCTGGCTGCAGCTGTGGGCGGACGAGTCTTGCCTAGGAAGGTGCCAAACCGCTGTGGTTTGTTGATGCAGGAAGCAGAAGCAGTGCGTTACCCTCAGTCAGACACTTGGTGAATCCCGCTTTGTCCTGTTGACACGGAGGGTAGAGCAGCTCTCGGCTTCGGTGCTGTCCCCAGCCTGCCTCGTGGGTTTCAGGAACGGAGGCTGGTACCTTAGACGTGCAAAGCAGATGCTCTCCTGCGGAATGGTGGCCCTTTCACTTCGGGTAGTTCAGGTTCCAAAAACCTCAGCTTCAGTAACAAGTCTGCACAAGAAGGAACTTCCTGGAACACTTAGGCTTGGGGCCTGGTGTTTGCGTGGAGAAGTGAGGTTTTTCCCAGGATTGATGGAGTCTGACCCTTCTGTCTGTTATTTCTCTAGTTTAACATGTCCATCGCTGTGCCGCTTGACCTGGTCTCCTTCAAAAGTCACTCGCTCGCTGTACTTCCCCCATGGTAACCGCGTTCGTTGGGCACCATGTCGGATCTCATGATCAACATAGAGACAACCATCGTTCGCCCCTGTGCAAAAAAGGTGCCGGAGGGCAAGAAAAAGCATGAGCGCTTTGTGAGGCGCCGCCACTTCCTGGAGAGGAAAGGCTTCTTGAGGCAAAAGCAGTCGCCGGGACAGCTCCCCTTGCCAAAGCGGGATGCCTCTTGTGGGCGCCCGGGGACAGAGGAGGACCGGAAAAGGCAGAAAGTGGACAAGCACGTACGGCCCAGCGGCCGGCCTCTGCCGCGGGACGGCTCGGCCCAGCGACCTAAAGCGCTTCCCAAGGAGAACTTCGGCCATGGCAACATCAGAGGCTCCCGCCCCCAGGCCCCGCCCCCTGCCGGGATCCCCTCGTCCGCGTCAGGTAGAAGCGGGAGCGGCTCGGCAGAGCACAGCGGGGCCCAGGCAAACTGTGGCGGTGTGCGGAGGCCTGATCCCAGAGCCAGCCTGCTGAGCGAGTGCGAGAGTGCCCTTCCCACGGCCCCGGCAGCAGGGAAGCCCAGCAAGATGGTGGCCATCGACTGCGAGATGGTGGGCACGGGGCCCGGAGGGCGCAACAGCGACCTTGCCCGCTGCAGCGTGGTCGGCTACCATGGGGACGTGATTTACGACAAGTACATCCGGCCCCTCAGCCCCATCACCAACTACCGGACCCGGTGGAGCGGCATCAAGAGCCATCACATGAAGAATGCGCTCCCCTTCAAGGCGGCTCAGAAGGAGGTGAGGGGGCTCCCCTGGCCTGCTGCAAAAGCCCTGCAGATCCTGGCTGCTTTGGGGGCTCGTGGCTTTTCGGGGTGGCAGGTGTCCTTCCAGCAGCCCCCAACCTCAGCGCATTGGCCCACTTCAGAGTCAGTTCCTTTGATGCAGCTGCCCAAAATTGGCCTGCTGGAGGCCGCGGGGATGTGTTTGGGTGCCGCAGTGCTTCTTTGCCGGGTATGTTTCTGCATCTGGCAGATCCGGGAAGGCTTGCGGGTAGCTTCATTCCCCAAATGCCTGCTCTGCAGGTGAAAGGGACGTACTGGGTTGGCTGCCGGAACAGCGGCTTCCCTGCTGGCCTCTTTGGCGGGCTTCCTCCACAATGCGCTGCGCGTGGGAGCTCCAATGCCTGCAGGTGGGCCAGCGGCAGAGGCCGCAGCCCTGCCTTCCTCCCTCTTGGCATCACCATGGCTCCTTGGGCGGTGGGCCGCTGCTGCAGGCGTGGCAAGCAGAGGGGAGCAGAGAGGCAGAGGCTGCCAGGGCGAGGGGTGCTTCCTCTGAGCGAGAACCGGCGCTGTGCAGTCGGTGCATCTCGGGGACCAGAGGTCACCTGTGGCCTTCCCAAGCAGCGTCCTGTGGGAGTCCCTGTGGGGATGATGGGGTGGGAGCAATGAATCAGCATGCCGTGCTTGTCCGGCCCCCAGGGTGCGAATGGGCTTCTTCCTCTCCCAGGCCTGCTTACATTCTCTCCGGCTTTCTGGTCTTGACTCAGGGTCTCTACCTCACTCTCTGCTCCGCTCGCCTTTCAGATTCTCAAGCTCCTCTCTGGGAAGATAGTTGTTGGACACGCCATTCACAATGATTTCAAGGCTCTCAAGTACTTCCACCCCAAATCCTTGACCAGGGACACTTCCAAAATCCCTCTGCTCAATCGCAAGGCCGGATTTCCTGAAAATGAGTCGGCCTCTCTCAAGCGCCTCACCAAGCAGCTCCTCCACAGAGACATCCAGGTAACGGGCAGACGCGGGCCTGGAGGCGTCTTCTCCGGAGGTCTGTCCTTGGAGCCCCGGCTTGCCTCTGCCCTGTGGAACAGACCGGGGGGGCCGTTTTGTCCACCGGCCCGAGCCTGCACACGCTGCCCCGGGTGACTCTGGGGACAAGGAGGCTGCCTGCACCACAGAGCTGCGAGGGGGCCATGCACCCTGCCGGTCGTATTCTCAGCCCCCCCTTGGGCACAGGGCCCCCTGGAGTGGGGCACGGCCTGTGGGTCCTGCCTCAGCCTGTCTCTTGCTTCCCCGCAGGTCGGCCCGAACGGCCACTCCTCCGTGGAAGACGCCCGAGCCACCATGGAGCTGTACAAGGTCATCGAAGCCGAGTGGGAGAGGCACCTGGCCGCCTCGCCTGCGCAGGACTGACTGTCCCGGGCCCCCGGATGGGCTCTGGCCAAGCAGCGAGCCGGCCTTGCGAGCTGGAGCGAGGACCCCGGGCGCCCCGCGGCGGTTTGGGCAAAGGGCACGTTGGGTTGGGGCGGGGCGGCGGGGAGAGGCAGGCAAGCGGGGGCGCAGGAGGGCGCAGCGGCATTGCGGGCTGCTGTGGGGGCACCATTACAGCGTCACTAATGGAGGCCGGTGTTGGTGTGTTCCTGGGGCGGCCTCTCAGCCCAGGCGTCTCCCCCTCCCCGCTTAAGGGGCGCGGGTGGTGGTGGTGTCTGCTTGGAGGGGAGGCGCTTGGTGAGCTGTGACCGGGGCAGCCGCTGGACCTCTCTAGCCGGGGCGGTCGTCCTCCGTGCCGCGCGTGTGGCGAAGCCTGGCGGGCGTGTGGATGGGCAGCTCCCCACCTGCAGCGACTCCCCACCTCCCCACCTGCAGGGGTGTGGGGCGGGTGTCCTGCCCTGCCCACGAACTGCACGGCGGAGCCATGCGGTCTGGGGTGGAGAGGATCTGGGGGTCTGCAGGCACTGGCATCTGACCCTAGAGGAGGTGTGTAGTCGCCGGAGCTCGAGGCCAGTGGCAGCCTTCTCCTCCATGAGAGCGTCTAGGCCTTCCCTTCTGCCCCAGCGCCTTCCGGCATCTTGAGCAAAAAAGCGGCGGGGGCGGTTCTCCAAGCCCCGGGAGGAACTGGCAGGTCCCCCAGCCTCCCTCGGCCCTGGAGGTAGCAGCGCAGTGCCTGCTGGACCAGGAGCCAAGCGCGGGGCAGGCGGCTTTGGGCAGGTGAGGCTCTGGTGATCCGGCCACTGGGACAGCCTGGGAAGGGCAGGGACCCTTCTGCAGGCATGAAGCTGCCCGGCTCTGGCTCTTCCTCCCCTTTTCTGCAATGGCTCTCAGGCCTGTTCTCGTTTCTTAAAAACAAACAAACAAACAAACAAACAAACAAACCTCTGGCCACCGCCTCCCTCCAGTTGTACAAGTTAGACTAATTTAGGCAAATTAACTAAACATTTGGGGTACACTCAGTTGCCCCCATTTAAAAAATCAGCAGTTTGTAATTGCACGGATCTTCTGCTTCAGCCGGTGGCCCCGAAACTGCCTTTATTTCCCCGGGGATTCCCCACCACCCGTGCTGCTTCCAAGGGCTGGTCAGCCAGACTCCACCTGTACTCTGCAAACCGTCACTGGGGAATTTTTCTGTCCCCCGACTCCCATCACTCAGGGTCCTTGGGTTTCTAATCCAGGTCAGAAGTTGAACCTCGCTCGTGTTGGCAGTGGAGGCGCTGTACCTGAAGGAGAACCAGTCGGCTGGCACATGAGGCCAGGGGCTGGGAAAGGGGCCATTCCCCTCTGTAGATCAGGAAGCAAGAAGGAAGTTCTGGTTGGGTACAAAGGCCCCTGGGGTGTCAAGGGTAACATGGATAAGAAGAAGCAACCGTTAATCCTGCGCCTTCCAATGTTCTGCAAGAGAGTGTTTCCTGGGCCGTGCTTATGCCCCCTTCCCTTCCTGGCTCCCCCGTCCCTTGCTGACCCGCACAGAGCCTGGGATCAGTCCAGGCCTCAGCCATGATGCTCCAGGCAGCAGTATCCAGGCCATCATCTTCTTTGTTTTTGATTCCAGTTTTAGAATTCTTAGTGGTGTTTACTGGTAAAAGCAGAGAGATCGTGAATGTGAGCCCAGACAGACTTGGGTTCCTTGCAAAATCCTCAAACTTTACTACAAATTCTTTTGAAAAAATTTTGAATTTATTTTTCAATCTAATACAAGTAAAGAAAAAATCATTCGACTAAAATAAAAACATATAAAATTAAACATATACTTAAATTTAAACATACAGTGCCTCCCCACAACCTGGACAGTAGGATACATTAGAAGAACTCATTCAAAGGTTCTTTCGGGACCTTTCCCCCTTCCAAAACTGCATTGAATCTCGACAGTTGAAGCCCCTTCACTTTTGAGCACATTCTCAGTAAATGCATCTTAAATCTCATTAAACTTACTTTTCTCTATATCCCCTTTTCTCACTTTAATATCCCAAGTTAATTTTACCTTCCTTTTTTTTGCTATGATTAATCTTGCAGCAGTTATTAACTTTGTTATTAATTCTCTATGATTTCAACTCTGTTGCTTGTGAAATATTGAAAACAAGGTCTCGAATGTGCGTTTTGGAAGAACCACACGGGAAAATTATTTCTTATACAGCTCCAAAGGGTCCGGAGGGTCCCCCTGAAACTTTTTCATTATACCTTGTATGTTATAATAACAGTAATTATGGATGGTTTTGTCTTTTGTCTGCCTGGGAATTGTTCTTTTTTAAAACAAAAATTTACTTACCAGCTGCCTTGGACAGATTTTCTTCTGCTTCCCTTGAAGGGCAAGACAGCGGCCTGGACGCGGGGCTGCCTGGCGGCCTGGAAGAGCTGCTGTTTCCCCCACGAGCAGCTGCTCCGAAGCTCACACTGCGCGCGCACAGGCTGGTGGCCGCTCTCGGGCCGTGCTCCTGCGCCAGGGCCACCGCGCTGCACTCGCTCCTGGAGCGTCTCCCCAGCAGCTGACGGTGTGGGCCTGCCTCGCCTGGGCGGCCAGGGGAGCGCATGGCCCCGGCCTGGGCAGCCCGGGAGGAGCTGCCAGCCCCTTGTCCCGCTGCTGGAGCCCGCGCCCTCTGCGTGGGCACACGTGGGACCCGCTTCCCTAGCAGTGGGCCGGAAGAGCAGGTGTGGCCACGGAGCCCCTCGCCCCCGCGCAGCACTGGGCCTGGAGAGGACGGGGGTCCGGCCCAGGTGGGTTTGGGAGGACGGATGCGGCAGGAGTGCAGGGCTGTCCTTGCCACCAGAGGCCGCTGGAGGCCGAGGCTGCTGGGCTCCAGGAAGCAGAAGCGGCCGCTTTGCTCCCCCCCCGTCCAGCCTTGAGTCCGCCGGGGATGGCGGGATTTGGGGGGTGCTGCGGAGCTGGCTAAAGGTTTTCCCCTAAGGGTGGGGAGGGGGACCCCTGGTCAGCCACGGGCCTGTCCCTTGGGCTGGCTCAGGAGGGCTCTGCCCGTGGGCCCCGCTAAGCGGCCAAAAAGCTGATTTCTCCTGCAAGAGGCGCTGCATCCGCTCAGCCCCCGCAGGGCCTGGGGTGCCGTGGGCTCTCTACTGCGTGGAGGGGGCTCTCCGGGGGCCCCTCCGGAATTGCATTCTGCGCAGGTCTCTGCAGTTACAGGAGCCTGAGGCACTTGCCCTCCGCGGCTTCTGCTGTGCTCTTTGTGCCTCGTGCAGCCATCCTGGGGCCCTTTGCTCGCCCGTGGGCATCACTGCCGCTGCCTCGGAGCAGTCTGCGTGGCTCCCCGGGCTGGGCTGGCTTCACGGGGCCGGCCAAGGAGCCTGGCTGGGGCAGCTCCAGCTCAGGGTCCAAATCTGAAGGCATGTGGCCCCCAGTGCGGGGCATCTCTTCCCCTCCCGTCTCGAAGAGCTGCCAGAAGACTGGCTGGGTGCTTCTGAACATGCCTGGAGGGCACTGGCCGAGCTCCCAGGCTGGAGGGCACCGGCCTGCCATGCCAGGCGTCCTGTCCGCTCATGCTCCCTGCCGGGAAATGGCTGGTGAAACACGGACAGAGACGGCGTTCCCAGGCGGAGGGCCAGGGCTGGAAGCCACTGCCTCTCCCAGGTGCCACTGCGGCTTCACCTCGCCGTGCAGGCCTTCCTTCCGCTTCGCCAGGCAAAGTGCTGATTGCTCATGGGGGTGCCCTCCCCGGGCACTCCTGGGTTCGAGCGAGGCCAGCCCAGGGGTGCAGGTGAGGGGGTCTGTGCCCCGCTCGCGCCCCCCTTCCCCCACGCAACCGGAGCCGCCTGGGATCGCGCCGAGGGCCCAGGAGAAATTCTGATTCTGGCAGGCCAGGCTTGTGGCATGTGGGATGAATTACGGTGCGGGGGGCTTGGCCGCTCCCGGCAGCCATGGCAAGGGCTCTATCACTGCCCCGGTCGCAGCTGCCTTGGCGGGGAGGTGAGGCTGGGCCTGTCCCAAGAGCCAGCCATTCCGAAGGCCCCCTGGAGGTTGATTTTGGGCTGCGGGGGTCTCACAGCAGGAGCTTGCAGGCAGCCGTGTCTGCCCCCTACCTGGCTAGAAGCAGCCCCCCCCCCCCCCCTGCACCAAGCTGGTTCACATTGGGGGCACCCCAAATTTGCTTTCCCGGCCGTGGGCCGTGTCCGCGTCTCCGGTTTCCAGAGCGAGCCGCTCCCCGTGCTTCAGCAACAGCTGCAGGCGCTCGCGCTGCCCCAGCCGGCTCCCCACCCCTCCGTCCTGGCAGGGGGGCGTGCGCAGCCCCTCCAGTTTTGTTTTCCGAAAAGGCGTGTTTTTCAGCTGGCCTGGAAGACCGAGGGAAGGCGCTGTGCTGACTCAGCCCTTTGGCAGCTCCCCGTCCGTTCGGGAGAATGGAGAGGACGACGGGCGCGCGCGCGCGACTGCCGGCACGCCATAAATCCATCGTGTGCATCTCTCGCCGCCGCCTTGGAGGAGGAGGAGGAGGAGGGGGGGGAGGAGGAGTCCTCTGGGGGACTCGCTTCCCGCCCCCCGTGCCCCACTGCGGCTCGCTCTGCTCCCGGCTCGACATCTTTGTGGGGAGCAGAAGCCGCTTCAGAGTGAGGCAGAGGAAGAGGAATGGCCGAGGGACAGGCTGCCGATGTGGACTAAGACGGCGGGAACGCTGATAGCAGGCTCCTGGGGCAGGGCCCCGTCCTTTTGCTTAAGCGGTACGCAGCTCGTGCCGGGGACACCCCACCAAGGGGATGCTGTAGGTGGCCCGGAGGCTCCGGCTGGGTCAGCCTGCATTTCAGGCTGTGGTGGGGAGCAGCTTGGGCACATCAGCTCCTCCTCCTCCGCCGCCGCCGCCTTCTTCACCCGCAGGTCGCCTCACTGGGGGGCCTCCGCACCCCGTCTTCCCCCGCTCACCAAGCGGGGCGAGCGCACCATGCCAGCGGCAAGGGCAGCCTCTGCCTGGGGCTCACAGCAACAGGCTCCTTCTCCGCCGCTGCCTGCAGAGCCCCCTGCCCCCGGCGTGTGGGATGGAGCTGGGCCTCTGCCATGGAGCGCTGTCTGTTTCCCCGGGAATTGTCCCAAATGCCCAGGGTGCTCAGGACGAGGCACGCTGCCCAGCACAAATTCTTCTTCGGTGCTTTTTCCTTCCTGGGCCGGGTCAGCCGCAGGTCAGAGCCGGCCGGCCAGCCAGATGCCCTTGGGAGAAGGTCTGTCGCTGGGGCTGGGACGGGGGCTTGTGCGGGGTCTCTGCACCCCGGCTGTGGACACCGCGGTTCTCCAGGCGGGGGCCTTGCCCAGAGGCAGAGGGGACCCTGCCTGGGGGCCGGGAGGGCTGCCCCACTGGAGCCCTTGCTGTGCCTTTGCCTGCGGGGAGCCCCAACTGCGTGTGGTCCTTGGCGGATTCTCACAACGGGGCTGTGATGTCGGCTAGGCTGAGAGTCAGCGACTGGCCCGTTGGCCTCTGTAGTCCATTGGCCACAAGGAAGTGGCCCTTTCTGTTCCCAGTCCCACACTGGAGCCTTTCCGGCTCTTCTGTTCCTGAAGAGCAAGTGCCCCGTGGATCCAGGGGCCCTTTGTGGATAAAAACATCCCCCCCAAGATCCCCCCGTGGAACACTCCTGCTGGCCGTGTCACGCCCGTTGCCAGCCAGCCCCGAAAGGCACCCAGGGCCCTGGTCTGGGGGTCCCGCCCTCGGCTTCTCTCGTGCTCGGCTTGGCCAAGGCTGTGTGGTCATCGGCTTGGGGTCTGACTGGGCCGGGGAAGAGCATCAGAGAGCCCCCACCCCGGCTGAGACCGGCATTCTCCCCCGCCAGGGCCGCCTTTCCAACCTCGGTGTGAGCCATTCATGTTGCGGCGCAGCCCTGGCTTGAAGGGAGCCCTTCGAACGCTTTAAAAGGGCAAGTGTGAAGGGGGCGGTGGTCCTGCTTGCGGCAACCCGGCTCCTCCGAGCCCCGGCCAGGGCCCGTGGGGGGCCTGCAGCCCTCCTGGGGTGGCGCTTGCTCGCGGATCGCTCCCTGCCCCCTCCCCTGCCCACATTAAGCCGTGCCCCCCCTCGCCCTCACCGGCTCCTGGCCTCTGTGATGTGATCCGTCTGCCGTGCCTGCCTGAGCCCGGGGGGCAGGAGGGGAAGGGTTGCTGAGAAGGCGCTGGGGCTGGGGCTAGGGCTGGGGCTGGGGGACTGTCCACTTAATCCAGGAGGCAAGGTTTGGGGGCAGCGGGGTCCTTCCTTTGTGTAACATAAAACCTTCCTTGTTGCCGTACAAGTAGACCCTCATTAAACTACAAAGAAGGAATGTCTTGTGAACAAGGACCAGAGAGGAGGGATGGAGCTGGGGGTGGGGGCCTTTCCCAAGGGTTGTGGGTATTTAGGGGGATGGGGTGGAAAGACATTAAAGCTGGAGGGAGGAGAGGAAGGGGCTGGGCTCAAACTTTTGCGTCTGGCCTCAATTTGGAGCCAATTAAATCTTGAAGGTTTACAATCCAGGTTATATAAATGTCCAATCGTTAAAAGTTTTTATGTCTTTGGAAATTGGAACCAGGCCTGGCCGGCCCCATCTTGTCGGCAGATGGTAGACGAGCCTTTCCTAATGAGGTGAAGGGGCCCGCGGGTGGCCCCTCCGCCCCAGCCGGCTCGGCTTTGTTGTGGGGGGCTGAAAGGAGCCGGGGGGCTTCTCCCCAGCTTCTGGGCACCGTGGTAGCCGGTGGGGCCCTGCTGGCTGTCAGTAGGGACCACGGAGAGAGCCTCTTCCGCTCCTCTTCTGGTGCCCCACGCCAGGCCTGCCATCCCGAGGATCCGCGCCAGGACGTGCGGGTCTGGAGCGCTCGTGGGGCACCTCTGAGCCACTTCCGCCCCCGTCCCGCTCCGGGACGCCTGACAGTCGCTCGGCAGGTCAAACCGAATCAGGCACAAGTGCCAGCAGGCCGCACTGCCACAAGCCGCGACAGGTGTGTGAGCCTGCCCTGGCCCGCCGCCGCCGCCGCCGTCTCCCCAGAGGCCCAGGTGACGCATCCTGCCACACTTGCCGTGTGGGTGAGCGCAGGCCCCGTCTGGGCATGCACGGCCCTGCCGTCACGCACGGGGCCCTGAGTGGCGCGGAGGCCACCCTGCCTGGCCCGGCCTGGGGGACCGGGTGCCGGCGCAGCACACCACCTTTGTCGCCAGGAGCGGAGCCCCCGGAGTGGCAGTGGCAGCAAGAGGGACGTCCCGGCCTGGGGTGTGGCAGAGCAGCTGAGACCCAGCCCGGAAGGGGCTCTCCCGGGTTTCCAGGGGCTCCAGAGGTGCCGGCCGGAATGGCCCTGCGGGCAGAGTGGACCCCCTGCGGTG